CCATAGCAACAGAAATACTACAAAGGTCGTTCCAGTGTTTGTTAGATCATGCTACTGACTGTATCAATGCACATTTGAATAAAATACAGGTTATATCTTCAACTGTTGATTCATTTTTATGGAATTAATCTGATTACTTAAATGTTGGACCTTGTTTTTACCAACTATGTGTTAGATAATGCAACAATCTTCCAATCAGATATGAGCTTGACAATAACAAAGTAAAAAAATAATCAAAAGACAAGCTGCAATCACAACTGTCAAGACTCTGAAACTGACCATAAACCTTATTATGTAAGCAGTTTTACACCTTTGGTGCATCTGCCACATTGTCATATGCTAATATTTTTTACAGACCACCTGTTTAACATCTTTTCTTTGAGTCTCCCACTCTAACTTTTCTGTTGTTACAATTCTGCCATTTATCCCTGTCTAACATCTTCACTTTGAGTCTCCCATTCTAACTTTTCTGTTGTTACAATTCTGCCATTTATCCCTGTCTAACATCTTCACTTTGAGTCTCCCACTCTAGCTTTTCTATTGTTATAATTCTGCCATTTATCCCTCTCTAACATCTTCTCTTAAAGTCTCCAGCTCTAACTTTTCTGTTGTTACAATTCTGCCAATTATCCCCCTCTAAGTCTTCACTTTAACTTTTCTGTTGTTACAATTCTGCCATTTATCCCTGTCTTATGTCCTTTCTTAGAGTCTCCTGCTCTAACTTTTCTGTTGTTACAATTATGCCAGTTATCTCCCTCTAAGTCTCCTGCTCTAACTTTTCTGTTGTTACAATTCGGACAGTTATCCCCCTCTACGTCTCCCGCTCTAACTTTTCTGTTGTTACAATTCTGACAATTATCCCCCTCTAAGTCTCCTGCTCTAACTTTTCTGTTGTTACTATTCTGCCAATTATCCCCCTCTAAGTCTCCCACTCTAACTTTTCTGTTGTTACAATTCTTCCAATTATCTCCCTTTCTTATGACTTGCTAAAAATGATGGACCCTCTTCTTGTGATGCATATAATCACACCACTACCAGGAGTTGATTTTTTTATCCTGGCCATATCTTCTGCAGTGTTTTGCAACCTGGGTAAATAACTGATTATGATCTGCTTTATATCTTATTCACAAAAAGTGCCCAAGAATTAGACTAGCCTGTACACCAGGGCTATTCAACTGGCAGCCAGCGGGCCACATCTGGCCCACAGAGGCTTAACCAGTTGCCAGCAGATCACTGCCAGTTGTACTATATTACTGATCTTTCTTTGCCTGGTCTTGAGAAGATCCCCATTTTCAAAACACTGGCCACTAAGTAAACTTGGTCAAACAGCCCTGCTGTACACTGTACATGATCAAACGGAAGATTCATGATCTACCAAAAATGAAAGAGGCAAACCAATGAAAACTAGCCTCACAATAGTTTTAGTTTTTGCCTGGGACACTCAGGGAAAACAATGTCTCCATAGGAAAAGGACAACCAGATAAGGACATACAACATACCTCTGGAAGAACATCAGTCAGTCAATCAGTAGCATGTCCTCTGCAGAACCCTGCTCCCATAATAACCTTTAAGAAAACTTCTCGATCACTAGCAAGATGTCCTGGGTCTGATCCACTTATCTGGAGATCATCCGCCACATCCTGCACCCATCTTCTCTTTGGCCTTACTTTTCCTTTCTTCCCAGGCATATACACCTCCATTACTGTTCTCTTTAAACTTTCGTGACGTTTCGTGACCAAAATATTTCAATTTTTATGTGATTTTTATCTGAAATAGCTAACCTTCCTCAACATTCAGTTCTTGAAGTATGGATGCATTTGTTCTTTTCTTTACCCATGATTTTCTTAGAAAACATTTATAACAATTGTATTCAAAGGCTTTTATGCGCTGTTCAGCATGTTTAATAAACCTCCAGCTCTCACAGGTGTATGTTGTATATGGGAAAGATGCATGCTCTTAGAAATCTCATTTTTGGAAGAATATCACCATACAGATTATAAGGAGAACACCCAATCACAAATAACAGTCATACCCAAAACACAGCCAAAAAAATGGACAGGCAAAACGGAACATTCAGTGGGAGCACAGGGCCAACAGAGGGGACCCAGACAGATTCAGATAAGACAACATCTCACACAGTTAGGGACAATAAGAGACAACTAACTACTGGCACAACAGATCATTCAAGCCACTGAACTCTGCGCACATAAAACCTGACCACAATTAAAACTGAAACTGGCTTCAGCAGGGTTGAATGTGGTCAAATGTTTTATTTTTCCAGCAAACCATGAACGAACATGCCTCAGAATCTCAATACTGATTCATAAACCATTGAGAATGCAGAAACATGCCTATTTAAAAAACAAAAACAATATAATTTCTGAATTTTTCTTCTTTAGTCGCTTTTAACAGGAAAGTAAGCACTTAGCACATCACACTGTGGTTTACAGACAGGCTATATCTGCCCAACTATTACCAGTTTTAAAAAACATGTTTGGGCAACCACTAGTATCAACAGTTATAAGACAGAGAAGATGGCGCTATACTGGACACACCCAGAAGAGATCAATAATCACCAAACAGGCATGCAAATGTGAAATAAGAAATGGAGAAAGCCAGGAAGTTCAGAGTAAAATCCCCAAGGAAAATGATGAGAGAAGCCAAATGCTGGACTGGATTCCATCCATCTATCGAAGGGACTGCACAAAATATAACGGAATGGAGAAATATTCTGTGACCCATAATGGTACAAAAGGACAATGAATGAATGAATTACTACTGGGGGCAGGGGGAAACAAACTGCCCTGCCCCCTCAACAAGCATGCCACAAATGGCAACTATAGGTATGCTGGAAGTGGATGTGCTGGGCTGACACTGCACCCTTGCTATAAACCATAACACAGCACGCAGCAGCCGCGCTTTCAAGGACAAACACAGAAAAAGATAGTACACATTTACTATTATTAATTATCTACTAAATTTCAATACATACTATAGTAGAACTGATTTACTTCCAGTCAAGATCTCTAGATTTCAGCAGTGGCAAGTCCAATTTTAAAACATTTTGTTTTCATTCTTGAGCAATCTGAATGAGCTCTGTACCCCTACATCCAAATGAGCAAAATGAGATTTTGTAATGTCAGTCAGTAACTTATGGTACTGAATGATCTGTACCTCGGATGAATAAACTACACACAAACAAAATTAATTCATAAATTATTCATACCTCTGTTCAGAATGGACTGGAAAACTTAATTTCATTTCATCAGCTCACCCAATACAGTTTTATAACATTTTATTTATAAGAACCAGTCACTGAAGTATATACATCTGAACAATGGTAATTTGTGAAGCAATTTACTAGTCAGGCGTTGTAAAAACTTGGTCCAAAACTTGCAATCTAGACCTGCTCTGGCTAGCCATAACCAAGTGCAAAATCCAGATTTTTCATTTTCTTCATGTTAAAAACTGTCACTATTATCAACATCATCGATCAGTCATTTGAAAATAAGCTCGTTGAAAAGTTTAAAACTTCTGCCAGTTCCAAAACTACAACAGCATCTGTTTCCCCACCCGAGGGGTTGGACGGACTGGCAGGACAACTGCGAAGGAAATTTTTTTACATGTTATGCAATACAAAAACAACATTAAATGCAAAAACTATAACCTTGTTTGTCTTTTCAATAAATGACAGCTGAAACAGAACAAAAACAAACGAGCCTCTCATGACTTCTTTTCATTTCACAAATGAATCAAGCGAAACAAACTAGCCAGTAATGTTGCTCCTTATCCTTTCATGAAATGATACTTGAATCATAACAGAAATAAACCAAAGTGGCAATACTGCAAGTATGTAACATTAAATGCTCCGCATGTTGGTCGCACTCATGACTTTGACCTTGTCATGAAAAGGAACAAACCCAGTCAACTTCAGATCTGGTTATCATGCAAAAATCTTATTCTTCTGATAAAACTACCATTGAACACCCAGTTCAACATTAAAAACTCATCGCCATAGAGGAATAATTTGATACACCGATAGCTTGTCACACAGTTCTTCAAATGCTTGTGACTTCACCTGCTGGTCACATTAAAAACTCATCGCTATAGAGGAATAATTTGATACACCGATAGCTTGTCACACAGTTCTTCAAATGCTTGTGACTTAAAGCTTTTTCTCAGTGGCCCCAATGTCAGTCGTATGTTTGAAACTATCACAACTGGTCTGCTGTTTGAAGTACTCATCTGTGGTCACATAACTGACAATGTCATTCATCTCGGAACTGTCCTCCCCTTCATCAATGTCCACTCCTCGGGCTCGAAGCAAATTATCAATCATGAATCCTCCCCTGCCTCTGCCCCTACCTTTGCTTGACTTCCCTCTCACGGCTCCCACAGCAGCATCTTTACCAGTTTTCCTCTGAGTTTTGGCCCGCTTGGGTTTTGAGACTGTGTTCAACTCAGATACCTGATCCCCAATATCGCTGGCAGGACCTGCCTGCTGGGAGCCGCCTTCTGGTCTTCGGGGACAATTCTGAAGCTGTGGTGGGTACCGCCCTGCTGGAGAATAATCTGGATTGAACCCAGCTCTGTGATATTCTTGTTCAGGTCCAGCTGGCCTCATACCTGGATAGGGAGGCTGGAATCTTGACTCATAATTCTGGTGCATGAAAGGTTTATGATCCACCTGACCTGAGTTGGGCCTAATGGAAGATGACTGAGAATGCATCCCATAGGCAGGATGGGCCATTGCTCCAGGCCCCTCGTAAGATCGATTCATATTGTAATGAGATGGCATGCCGCCCATGTTGGCCCACTGGTTCATATGTTGGTGTGAGTAGGGTATGGTGGAGTTGGGTCTTGGCCATGAGCTGTGAGGGGCCATGGATGTAACTGGTGAGACTTGATGGGGCTGATTCATACCTGAACTGTTGCTAGGATGGAAGGAAGGTAGCTCTGCAGAAGGAGATTGCTTACACATTGAAGCTGTGGTAGGGACATCAGACATATGGGATACCATCTTTGTTTGCACAGATGGTAATGTGGAAATGGATGATGAGGGCAAAGATGAAACAGATTCTGACAAAGACACCTGTGGTCTCTGTGGTTCGGATAAGGGCACATTCTCTACCCCTTTTGGCCCAGAATCTGTATGTCTGATATTTGGTTTTATATCTAGTTCCACATTCCTTCTGGTGTGCCTGTCCAGACTCTGTAGTTCTGCCCACATGAAGCTCAGAAGATGTGCTTCTCTGTAATACAGGTCTCGGCTGATCTCCCATTTTACTCATGTTCACAGGATCATTCTTGGTGCCGGCATCTTGTGCTGACCCTTTCTCGGAAACTCCTGCTAAATCTGAGTTTGGGTGACTGTGTGAGCCAAACTCAGACTTAATAGTTGGCATGCGGTTACCTGCATTAGGATTCATGCCATATGGATGTACAGGTGGTCCATATCTCAAACCACCATACCCTTGGACATCAGGGTTCCATGTATTGCCCGGAGGCATGGGTTTTCTGGGATCAGGGCCACGTGGGTAGTAAGAAGATGGACTGTAGTATGCTCTTGGGGCTTCTGAGGTGTTGAGTCCTCCTCCTTGGGAATACTGTGGGATGTTTTGTCCATGTGCGCTGGCATGCAATCTGTAATCCTGTGTGGTAGGTATCAAGGTTTGTCCAGCTGGTGGACCGCCAAAGTCTGGTGAAGCCTCTGTGGGGTGAGTAGTCTGGGGCAGGCCCTGAATGTGTGGCTTTATATCAACTGTTGCATGTTTTCTTATGCTCATCTGGTCCACTGAGGCCGGGTCCTTCATACGATCACTTGAGGTGGCATCTAAGGCCTGAGAACCAGGAGAAAGACTATGTCTTCTCTCCTGAGAGGATACTGTTTGCTCACTGGGCTGTGACTTTGTGAAAGTCTGGTGGTAAGAAGACATATGCACTGGAGATCTATTTGGCAAAGTGGTGCAATGTGATTCCATGTTCTCAGCTCTGTTCCACTTCCCCTCACCACTTTTTACAGATGCATTATTGCCATCTCCTTTAGGTCTCTGATGGGCTGCTGCTGGTGGTGTGTGCCTTGGGTTCATGTATGGCCCTTGGGTCATCTGGTGTGTGTTAACATTTGAACCATGTGGATAAGGCATCTGATAGGGTGGCATGTGATAGGGCTGACTGCCGACTCTATAATTCACCATCTGCTGACCAGAGCCGGACAACCTGTCTGGGCCTTCAGGAGGGGCAGCCATGTGTCCGTGGCTGGCTGCAGGGGCTGGTCCATGCTGTCCAGGCTGACCAATGTCATGACTTTCAATATCTGGTTCAGAGGCTTTCTTCTTAGATTTAGAAGATACTGCTCTCTTCTTTCCAGTCTTACCAACTTTTTTCCCAGAGATATCGTCATCATTATTTTCTGTTTTGATATCTCTTATTTCAATCAACTTTTCTTGTCTATGGACAGCTTCTGGGTTGGGTGGAGATCCCAGACTGGATCTTCTCTCCTTATGTCCTTCCCCGCTTCCTCCTGTCTGTGTGCTGGATGGGGAATGCATGTCTGACCCAGGTCCCAATTTTCTTGCCATCTGACCCATACTTGTCAAAGGTGAGCTCATGTTGTGAGGACCAGGCCCCATGCCGGCTTGGTACTGCCGTGGAAAATGCTGTCCCATGTTATGAGGAGGTGAAGTCTGCATGCCATAGTATGGATTTCTAACAGCATTTGCACTCAAATCCTGACCAAAATGGGCAGGAGGCATTCGTCTGGCTCCATAGTTTTGAGGCATGTAACCTCCCATGTTGGGATTACTGTCATTGTCCATACCTGGGCGAGAATGCTGTTGCTGACCCATATAGAATTGTGGCTGCATCCCTCTATGTGACTGAGGCTGACCAGGTCTCATGTGGCCTCCAGATGGACCTGGAGGAGGATAGTGACCAACAGGACCACCTTGAAATCCTGGATGTGGCAAACGGTGTTCCTCGTGTAATTTAGGTGCAATCTGACCAGGCTCAACACCTTGAGAGCTGTGTCTTGCGCCAGGAGGAAAAGAATGTCCAAGATTTGGCCTTGGTCCTCTGGGAGTGTATGAGTGAGGTGCTCTCACGCCCTGACTCACGGCACTTCCTGCTTCGGCGCCTGGCGGGTGAGGCATGGAATCTGAGAAGCCCCGGATTAAACCTGGAGGACCACTTTGTGGTGCAGCATTCAACATGTTTGCATTCTGAGGAGGTGGGCCAGATTCATGTCCCATCTGCCCCAAACCTTGAGTTAAACCAGTAACTTGATGGTGAGCATATGGTGTTCCATGAGCTGCAGAATTACTGTAAGGTCCAGTGCCGAATGGATAATGCTGGCCTGGGTGCGAAAAATTTATGTGATGTTGCGGACCTTCCACATGATCTATCCTTGCCTTGGGACCATCTGAAGAGATCTGGGATACTGCTGTTGTTGTCTGGGTATCTGCTGCATCTGCACACAATGATGGTGTTACAACCTTATCTTTGGGGAGATCTTGTTTCTGTTCATCACTTTCTTCACCAGAGTTGACATCCAAGAAATTGGGAACTGTTCTCTTCTTTCCGCTACCTGTAGATTTTTCCATTATAAAGGATGGTTCATGGAAACTACCTTCTGTTTCTGTCACCGCAGTTTTCTGATCTACACTAGACATCCCTACATCCTGGACCTTCTCATTAACTTTGCTCTCTGTGGCAACTATCTGGGGTTTATTCTCGCTTGCTGGCTTACTGACCTCTGCAGGCATTAGAGGTACAGCATCAACAACACTCTCAGGTTCTCTGTCTGAGGTACTCACTCTCCTCACTTTACCTGGTACTGCAACATCTGTTACTGGAACCGCCACTTTGTCTTCTTCACACCAATCACTTCTCTTTTTCCCCTTTGCAATAGCCTTTGGTTTGGTCTTTACAGCAACATCTGACATCTTCTTAGTACTATCTGGTTTGGTCTTTACAGCAACACCTGCTCTGATCTTTACAGCATTATCAAGTTTGGTTGCTACAGTAGGTTCTTCTTCTTTCTCCTCTTCCACCACAGCAGCGGCAGGAAATGTCTCTACCTCAGCGGTGCCTTCAATTTTACTGCACACCTCAGCTTCCATCATTGGCGGCACATCTGTAACATCATGCTCTTTTTCATCTTCATCTGAAGATCGCAGAACATTCTTTTTCTTAAATCTGGGAGATTCATCAGAATCCTCGTGACTTTCCTCTTCGTTAACATTGCGACTTCCCTCAGAGTCTGACTTTCCTGCCTTTTTCGGGATTTCCTTCACATTTTTTGCTTCTTTTTCTGACTCTTCACTTTCACTTTCATCTTTTCTTCTTTTCTTAATAAGTCTTCTGAGATTTTTCCGGCGGATAGTGATAGAGCTGTCGGAGTCATGGCTGCCTTTTTGTTTCCTGCCAGTAGTTCCCTTCTTCTTCATTCTGGTGGCCTTTTGTTTTTGTGACTTCTTGCGACCATACAGAGAGCCTTCGGAGCTGTTGTCAGAACCACTGGCCTCTGCCTCTGTTTCTTCATTAGAATCCCAGTCACTGTAATGAATGCGACCACGATTGGAGTTTCTGGTTGACCGACGCTTGGCGGCATTTTCATCACTGTTGTAGTCATCGTCAACCACTGAAATGATTAAAAACAATTTGTTTAGCACTGGTACACATTTTTGTGGGCTTGCATTCTATTTAACATAGTGGTCTAAATTTTCATACAACAGTTTTTCAAACAGTAAGACAGGCAAAATGATTTGCACTGAATGGCACTTACAGATGCTTAGGAAACAAGAGATAAAAGGACACAAGAAAACATAATAATCTATAGCTACAGTTGCGATATTAGAAATCAAACCTGAAGTCTCTAAATGGCAACTGTGCCTCGCTGAGGTGATAAGTGTACTTAAACATTTAAAAAAAAAAAAAAGGTGCAAAGGGTCGTTAAGTAATTTTTAAAACGAATACATTTGTGATTGTAATAATACATTATATTAACAATTTGTATAAGTTTAATTATAAAATAGTTTTTATAACTAGTTATTACACAAAAATGAGGCAATTGTGTTTACATGAGCAGTTTGTACATTTGACGTCAAAGATTGAATCATTATAACATGCGTATGTAATTATAGATTAGAACACATTGTGACCAAAACATATCTCCATACTTTCTGTTTCTCTTGTTGTAGAATCTACTGTCCTCTTTTCAATCACACTATGTTATGTTTGTTGGTCAGCGGTGGGGTGGTGTCTGGCCAAATACTCAAGGTCTGTGGGGTCTTGCACTATCCTGAAGGGGACGTAGGAGTCTTGTTATGTACTTACTAAAGGGGGTGTGACCTAAAAAGGGTTGGAGACCACTGCTTTATATAAAACCACCAGACCATGACCTCTCCATCAGAATACTACTTCTAACAAGAGTCTGGAGTTTTACAAACAAGATTTTCCTTCATCAGGACAGCTAATATCATCAGATGCAAATAACCCTGAGGCAGAGAGAGAGATTAAGCCAAATTTGGCGCTGCTATTAGGTGGAATCTATCCCCTGCGCTGATTAAAATTGCCACCTAGGAAGTTCTAAAGGTGCCTCTGGCTACCCAGTGAAGAAAAGTAAAAACCAACAGGTCTTCCAGGGACATAAATAATTCTTGCAATCAAGCTGTCTGGAGAAAAAAACTATCACTACTGACTGTTTTACCACTTTCTAGGGCGGTGTAGACATGAGAGGTCATGAGCCTGAGGATTTAGGGTTGCATAGCTAGTGTTGTTGCCACGGACTGTGCAGGTTAGGATTATTAATTCTACCTCTGACAGAAAACTCCATCACGTTAATGGGGGTCGAACCCGGGCCTCCCGCATGAGAACTGCATGTAACTGCTTGGCCAGAATCAGTTTAAAACACATTCTGCATAAAAAATGAATCTTCATGTAAAGTAGAGGACACAATGAAAACTACAAGACATGAAAAACTGACCAAAGTTGTGCATTCGTCTGCCAGAACTCCTTGAAGATGTATGACTATTGTACCATGTTCTTTTGGGTTTCCAGTCTCCCGAATCAGAGTTGCCGGATTCGTCATCCTCCGCATCCTCCTCTACCTCGGTGGCATCTGAGTCTTCCTCCCTGAATATAACATTTTCTTTGTGATTAGAAAAATAACAAATCACAATTTCTTGATCAATAATTTGTATTCACTGTAATTCCTGTGTGGATGCCATGGACCCATTTTGGGAAACACATGAATAGAGGATTGTGTGGTTTGGGCTGAAATCAATACAATTTCCTGCTAAATACAGCTACGGTACAGCTGACAGAAGAATGCTTCCCACAGTTTTACCATGGGCTACAAAGGTACACAAGATGTAAGGAAGCACTGTCGATTATGTTGTAATCTTAGGACAAAAACTCTGCAGAAGTTCAAGCATAAGTTGCTCTCAGTAAAGTAAAATCTTTGGAGGGGCTCAAAACTGAGGAGCTAGACAGCACAAAGTTGAGTGGGAGAGAACCATCTAAAAATTATGCTTTAGTGGAAATGGAGAGAATGCAAGCAATGTGTCCAAAATAGTCAAAAATTCAAAGTTGTTGAATGTTGAATTAAGAATCGACATCACAGCTCTTGGGACACTCCGATAAGTGTTCAGTCCCCATTTTCAGCAGCAAGCGAAGAGTTCCAATTTCCTATGGTACCAGTAACTGTCTGATTGTAAATACGTCTCATCTTTCCCTGAGTGTTGAGCGTCGGCTAGATCCCCTGGTAACCCCTCGCAGCACTATTCTCCTAAGACCATAATGATCTATCTGCGCCTCCGCACTGTTTACTCACTCCCAAAGGCCCCTCACATTATCTAACTTGTCATACATTAATCAATTCACCACCAAGTGGTGCAGAGCCAGCCAGTCTTTTCTCATGCTCCTTTCCCAACACACCGTCAAAAATTAAATACACAGGAACCTCTGTTCCCAAACACCTCCCCTTTTGAGTAATTCAATGTATGTACACATTTTTGAGGGGACACGTCTCAGTATCTGTAATATAAACTCTGTATCTGAACAGATACAAGTATTCAAGGAATGAGATTAAGATATTAAAGCATCTTGCTCTTATTGCAGATTATTGCTTCAACGTAAGCAAGTTCTTTCATGATTTGCTTCGATAGTGCCCCAGCTCATCTGCAACAATTGGTGGATGTACTATCACTTTATTCCAGTGGATGATTTGATTGACTGAATGACTCCAGATTTGAAATCACTGCACTTGGGGCAGTCCCACACGTGCTCCACAGAAGTATCTGTCCACTAACACAGCTCCAATTATCCCTCCTGAGGTACACCTAAAAAAAAAACATCATGTCACTGTTTCCAAGCTGTGCTGAAGTTACATCAAACAGCTGTCACTTGGAGATTTCTGAAAACTTCATTTCCACATCTTCATGTAGGCAATCCTGACAAAGCCTAGGTGCATGTGACGTACAGGACTAAAAACTAAGACTAGAGAGATTTTGGTCAGACTTCATACAGATACAACGAGAATTCTGATGCAGAATATATTACTAATGTAATGTGTCTTTGGGCAGGAGGTGTGCTTGGATGTTACTGGAGCACCACACGACTGAATTTACTATAGACTGCAAAACTTTTAGAAGGAACACACTAACCTGCCTCATCAACTTGTATTTATAATTTTCCCGCTCTGACTTACAGGTAGAGATAATACATTTTCATTCATAATTTATCTATTTATTGTACTAAATTAAAAAAAAAAATTACATTAAATTAATTTGTGTAGGTGTATATATCAGTCTGAGACAAACTTTGTGTTAGATTATTAAGCTATTTCCTAATAAGATACGGAACTAACATTTTACATACACTCGCTTTGTCGATGACAATGCAATGAATTCTGAATTCTGAATTAAAAATAAAAATTATATATGTGTGTGGTTACAGACATATGGTACATTTATATAGTATACTATACACTCAAGGCAATGAACTGCAGAATTTACAATCATCAGTGATTTTTAATCTCAAGGTGTCAAATCTTCAAGTAGCAGCCGTGGGGGGGAAATAGAGTCAATCAGTCAGTCATGCACAAGGTTCAATGTGTGAGAGCATCAGGCAATAATGCAGCGGTTCCCAACCTGTGAGTCATCACCACTTTGGGGGTCAAATGACTATTTTAGAGGGGGTCACCTGAGACCATCAGGAAACACATATTCACTGATGTTATGAAGTAGCAACGAAAATAATTTGATGGTTGCGGGTCACCACAACATGAGGATCTGTATTAAACGGTTGCAACATTAAGAAGGTTGAGAACCAGTGCACTATTGGAAACAAATTCTGCACTGTAATGTTGTAACTACTAACAGATATGTTGGAGGTACTACAGTAAAATAGCACTATTGGAAACAAATTCTGCACTGTAATGTTGTAACTACTAACAGATATGTTGGAGGTACTACAGTAAAATAGCACTATTGGAAACAAATTCTGCACTGTAATGTTGTAACTACTAACAAATATGTTGGAGGTACTACAGTAAAATAGCACTATTGGAAACAAATTCTGCACTGTAATGTTGTAACTTCTAACAGATATGTTGGAGGTACTACAGTAAAATAGCACTATTGGAAACAAATTCTGCACTGTAATGTTGTAACTACTAACAGATATGTTGGAGGTACTACAGTAAAATAGCACTATTGGAAACAAATTCTGCACTGTAATGTTGTAACTACTAACAGATATGTTGGAGGTACTACAGTAAAATAGCAGCTGTTGTTGGCATGATTTTTTTCCCCCACTGTGCTGACTGATAACATATAATTAGGAATAACAAGTAGAAAATAAAAATAACATAAAAACACTTGTTTATAAAATAAGCTTTTATTACTTAAACTGCTTCCAATAACCAAGACACTATTAAAATTGTTGTTTATATTATTTATCATATGGTATAGTGGACACAAGATTTTCACAGTGACATTTAATATATGTATGCACAACAACTGAATCACATTTTTAATTTTAGTGGCTTATACTTGTGACAAGTTGAGTCGAGTTTTGTATATTGTCATCTAGGCGCCTCACACTTTTGTTAATCATGGTATACAATTTTATATTAATTTTTAAAGATAATCAGTGAAACCCATGTGTGTATTAACTATGTATAAAGTATATATACAATATAAATGTTAATTTAAATGAAAATAGTGGACAAAATAGTGGACAATTAACCATATATTAAACTATTTTGTATCTTTTTCACTGTATTGGTCTGTATATGCAGTTTATGTAAGACTGTAAATAAATTACAACCCAAATAAAAAAAGTGGTAAACATTAACCTCCTAACAACTACTTGAAGTTACGTCAGTTTTGTACCAAAATTATTGAAGCTCCAACTGTATTCCTTCCCTGGAAACTATAGTTAAAATTACAATGCATCGTGTCGTGGTTTTGTCGTCTCACTGGTACCAGGTTGTAGCCCAGTGTCGATTTGTTGTCTCACTGATACCAGGTTGTAGCCTAGTGTTGTGGTTTTGTCGTCCTACTGATATCAAGCTGTAGCTTAGTGTCGTGGTTTTGTCGTCCCACTGATGTCAAGCTGTAGCCCAGTGTCGTGGATTTGTCATCTCACTGCTACCAGTTTGTAGCCCAGTGTTATCCATTTGTTGTTTCACTGATATTAGGTTGTAGCGCAGTGTCGTGGTTTTGTCATCTCACTAATACCAGGTTGTAGCCCAGTGTTGTGGTTTTGTCATCTCACTGATACCCTGTTGTATCCCAGTGTCGTGGCTTTCTGGTTTAGTTTAAGTCATATCAGGTTTCTGCGATTTACCACTGTTTCTTGTCTTTCTCTCAGTGTCGTGGCTTTTCTGTTGTATATCCTGCGCTTCTCCCAGGTGTTCTGTTTAAAAAGTGACCTTCCTCCCAGGATTTCTGCTGTAATATTTTTACCTTTCTCCCAGGTTTTTTGCGGCGACCTTTCTCCCATGTTCTGTTGTATCCCTCACCTTTCTCTTCTCCTCTTTTCTCCCAGGTGTTTTGCTGTAAAAAGTCTCCTCTTACCTTTCTCCCAGGTGTTCTGTTGTAAAAAGTCTCCTCTCACCTTTCTCCCAGGTGTTTTGCTGTAAAAAGTCTCCTCTCACCTTTCTCCCAGGTGTTCTGCTGTAAAAAGTCTCCTCTCACCTTCCTCTCAGGTGTTCTGTTAAAACTCTCTTATGCAGTTTGGTCCAGTTGCAGTCTCACTAGATGGCTGAATCATTTCATTTTTTGTCTCAATATAATCCAGACACGGTCTTATTCCAAGTTTCTCTCTAATGCTGGTATTCGTAACCCTGCCTCTTCTTGTGTTGTTAGTGACCTCACAACTAATTAAGTAAAATAAAATCCAGGGCCCTTTACACACCAGCGGTGTATCAGTCATATAAGGCTAGATTCATAACTGCACAAATAATGAGGGGACATGCACCCCCTACAATTAGTTAAAGCTACATTAATTTGGTACCAACATTACTGAAGCTTCAACAGTATGCTTACTCTGACAGTTTAAATTCATCACTTTCCTCTTCATCATCGTCTGGATCCTCATCGCTATCCAGCCTGGTCAGCCTACGTTTTGTTTTCTTCTTCAGCAGTGGAGGTGCAGGCTCACTACTGTCCCCATCACGCTGGCGGATTTTGGCATCTTCTTCATCTGAGGCTCCTAAAATATTAGACATGTCCTTCCCTCTGCTAATACCTGTCAAAGAGTTAAAACAAAAGATTATAAAGGTAATGTAAAGAGGGGGAAGGAAAATGAACGAACAAATGAACAAACAAACAGGCTCGTCTCACATTCAGCCCTTCCAGTCAACCATCTTTCGCACAGCAGTTGTATTTTACTAATAAAGCATGTTATGATCATATGATGATATGCATATTATGAATATTATAAAAGAACACAAAAGCATGAGTTGTAAAGTGCATACAAAAACTTATGCGTGTATACACATCCCCACATACATACACACGATCACGCACTCACTTACACACACGCATACATACATACATACATACAGGCATGCATGGAGACACACACATGCAAACACGGACACTCCCACAGAAACGCACGCAGACACACACTCATGCAGAAAAAATAAAGACACACACAGAGACACAGGAGACATATATACATACATGCTCACACACTGACACACACACATATATACACAGACACTCACACAGACATAGAGGTCAGAGCAAGAGGTAGACCAAGAACAAGATGGGAAGATAACATCAGAGAAACACTACAGCACCACGACATGTCTATGATCAAAGCAGCCAGAAGAGCAAGAAGCAGGACTTTATAGCTACCTCGTCAACCCTAAGCGGTAAAAGAGAGTGTAAAGAAGAAGTAGAAAAAAGGGGGAGGGGGGAACTGCTGCTATAAAGATGCCTAGTTTAGATACACTAGGTCACACATTTTTTTGAGGTATGATGGCCAGTTCCAGAGAAAAATATCACACACAACAAATAGTCAGCTACTGAAATGTGTGTCTAAAAGGACTGACACAATGATGAACATAGAGATGCGCTTGTTACCTGGAAGGTCTAAAAGAACCGACACAATGATGAACAAAGAGATGTGCTTGTTACCTGGAAGGTCTAAAAGAACCGACACAATGATGAACAAAGAGATGTGCTTGTTACCTGGAAGGTCTAAAAGAACCGACACAATGATGAACAAAGAGATGTGCTTGTTACCTGGAAGGTCTAAATTAGTGACACAGGGATGAACAAAGAGATGTGCTTGTTACCTGGAAGGTCTAAAAGAACCGACACAATGATGAACAAAGAGATGTGCTTGTTACCTGGAAGGTTGTGCTACCTGGAAGGTCTAAATTAGTGACACAGGGATGAACAAAGAGATGTGCTTGTTACCTGGAAGGTCTAAAAGAACCGACACAATGATGAACAAAGAGAGTGCTTGTGCTTGTGACCTGGAAGTGCTCTAAAAAAGAACTGACACAATGATGAACAAAGAGATGTGCTTGTTACCTGGAAGGTCTAAAAGAACCGACACAATGATGAACAAAGAGATGTGCTTGTTACCTGAAGGGTCTAAAATAAGTGACACAAGGATGAACAAAGAGATGTGCTTGTCACCTGGAAGGTCTAAAATAAGTGACACAAGGATGAACAAAGAGATGTGCTTGTCACCTGGAAGGTCTAAAAGAACTGACACAAGGATGAACATAGAGATGTGCTTGTTACCTGGAAGGTCTAAAAGAACTGACACAATGATGAACAAAGAGATGTGCTTGTTACCTGGAAGGTCTAAAAGAACTGACACAATGATGAACAAAGAGATGTGCTTGTTACCTGGAAGGTCTAAAATAAGTGACACAAGGATGAACAAAGAGATATGCTTGTTACCTGGAAGGTCTAAAAGAACTGACACAATGATGAACAAAGAGATGTGCTTGTTACCTTTAAGGTCTAAAAGAACTGACACAATGATGAACAAAGAGATGTGCTTGTTACCTGGAAGGTCTAAAATAAGTGACACAAGGATGAACAAAGAGATATGCTTGTTATCTGGAAGGTCTAAAAGAACTGACACAAGGATGAACAAAGAGATGTGCTTGTTACCTGGAAGGTCTAAAATAAGTGACACAAGGATGAACAAAGAGATGTGCTTGTTACCTGGAAGGTCTAAAATAAGTGACACAAGGATAAACAAAGAGATGTGCTTGTTACCTGCAAGGTCTAAAATAAGTGACACAGGGATGAACAAAGAGATGTGCTTGTTACCTTAAAGGTATAAAATAACTAACACAATAATGAACAAAGATGTGTGTTAATTACCGGGAAGGCCCGAAATAACTGACACTAACAAAGAGATGCATTGCATCCGGATCTAACCCTCTGAAAAGGTAATGGAATGACATGTACTTTTGCAGGATTGTTTGTCCAGCTTTCATAACTGACTGCCTGCATAAACAACGAGATGCTATTCTGGTGTGTTAGCACATTTCCCGACCGCCTTATGCATTTACTTGGTGTGTGTGAGCTTCAAGATTTTACTGGGACTGACATTTGTTTTTTAATGGGGCAGTGAGGGACATTTTGCTACTTCCATTGGCACAGGAATGCAGCAATTATGGGGCAAACTGTCTGCACTAAAGCTGGACTCTTCCCAAACAACTAAAGACTGTATTGGTTAACTGGAAGGCATAAAACAGCTGACACAGTAATGAACAAACATATTTAACCACCTGGAGGTTTCTCTCTCCGGAAAGGCTTGTCATCTTCAATAGCATTGTTGATGAGCTCATCAAACTCCTTGAACTGGTAACTGACAGCAGCCCGTGTCCGACAGGTCCTCTGGCTTAGCACTTCTAGTTCTGGACTCCGCTTCTGTCTGTTGTGGCTGTGTCTGTGCTTTTCTTTCCGAGATCTTTTCTGTGCCTGTCTTATAGCCAGCCTCTCTGACCTGTACATACGTTTGGGTTCAGGTTTGGATTCATACGAAGAAGTACTTGCAGAATCGTCGTCATGATTCTCGGCCTCCTCACCCTCAACCTTGTCCTCTCTGTGAGAACCATCACCCTGGTGTCCTTTCCTGATCTGACCACTGTATCTGGCAGGCTGCGGCATTTTCCGATCCTGAAACAAAGTTGAAGAAAGTGTTTAGGTGATCCCAAACATATTTTTTATTCCAATGTTATTTCAGTTTTATTTTAAATGCCAGTTGAAATTTGGAGAACAACTAAAGATACTTCACAGGGTTCATAGCCAAATTTACCAATCAATTTCAAGGCTTTTCAAGGTCCTTTTCAAGGTCTCCTTAGTTTTTTTCAAGGTTGTCTCGGTGTAATACTAAAACAAGATTTTTGCCTTGTTTAAAGGTGTACCCAGCACACAATGTACTTTATTAGTGCCACACATGTTGGTATACCAGCACATAAATCATCATTATCATCATGTAGCAGGTTCTTTGTCCTGAAAGAAACTTTGTCTCTCACCAGCTCTCCCATCTCATGTACTTTCATACTCAAGGAGTCACTTATATCCTGTGCCCATATCCGTGTTGGTCGGCTCCTGGGCTTGATATAGTGTTTGACAATTTCGTTTAAGATTTGGTGGTAGAGGGCTGCAAACTGAAGTCCTGTCTGTTCTGGACCTGGTACCTGAAAGGGGGCGGGAGGTCATACAGAGAGGGAGGATGACACATGCTGATGTAGACTGGGAGACACAGTGTAAAGATGGACAGATGAAGGTAGAGGAAAGAAGAGAAAGAGTCTGGGGAAGGAGGAAAAAATATGACAATGAGAGGGAGGGATGGAGACATGATGAGGGAAAGTGAGAGACGGACAGCGAAAGACAGAGAGGGAGACAAATACAGAAAGAGGGAATGCAGATACAGAAATGGGCAGATGACAAGAGAAGGTGAAAGGGAAAGAAACAGAGATATAGAAGGAGGAAAAATATGACAAAGAGAGTTGGAGGAAGGGAGACAGAGGGAGAGAGAATAGACAGGGAGAGAGGGAGATGCAAGCAGAGAGAGATGTAGACATAAAGGAGAAAGAGACAAAGGGACAGCATTGAGAGGCAAGCAGACAGAGGGAGAGAACCAAAGAAAGAGAAAAAAGACAGAGCAAGAAAATGGGAGGGAGGTATACAAGGAGGAAGTGATGAAGGGAGGCTAACAGACATAAAGCAAGAGAGAGGGAGAGAGAGATGGGTAAGGAAGGCAGTGACAAACACAGATTAAGAGAGAGGGACAGGAAGAGAGACAAGATAGAGAGTAAAAAACTTATGCAAGAATCGCTAACAAATATAACAACACATCAAAGACAAAAAAACCAGCTCATGCTGCAAACCCACCCACCCACTACCCCAACACACAATTTCAAGTGTACTGGACACAACCACTAGGAAAAGATGATTATGGGGCAACAAAACAAATGTAGAAAAACCAGAAAAAATGGGGGTGAGAGAGAAGAGAGGGTAAGGAAATCTAGAGAAAATGAGATGACAGGATGGAAAGAAGAGACAAAGAAGAGATGGGACAGGAGGAAGAGCAAGAGAGAACAGAGTAAGGGAAGGAAGAGAGGAAGGATGGAGAAATAAAGGAGAAGAGTGGAAGATCAAAGGAAAGAGAAGGGATGAGAGAAGAGAGGTAAGACATGGTGGGGGGGGGGGGGGGGGGGCTATAAGAACACTGAGCGCCAAAAATAGAATTAGGAAATCTAAGTGAGGCCACTTTACCAACAAAAAAAATAGGTCAGGGCACCAGTGGACCGTTTTATTTCTGATTTTCCAATTATAGAAAGGAGAGGGTAGAGGAGGTGGTGTAGAAGGCTGAGATGGTAAGGGTGAGACAGAGGAGGTGAGAAAGGTGAGAGAAAGAGAGAGAATAAAGTTTAAGAAAAGAAAGTTGGGACTGAGACAGGGAGAGAAAGAAGGGAGAAAGAAATAAGATGAGATATGGAGGGAAGAAGGTAGCAGGAAGGGGCGCACCCCCCCCCCCCCCCCCCCCCAGGTGTTATCAATGTGGGTGACGGCAAATGTATTTTTAAAAGAACACATATATTTACGCCAATTGAAGGTGTGGAGAAAGAGAGAGGGGGGGTGGGGGAGAGCGGCAAATACAAAGAAAAAGAGAGAAAGGCAGTGAGATGGGCAGAGAGTGAGTAACAGGTAGGACAAAATAGGAGGGGGCAGCTATGGAGACTGACAGAGATTAAGGCCCACTAAGAAAACAAACACACATTAAAAAAATATTCACCATGTTCATGCTAAACACCCACCCCCCTCCACCATAACACAACTTCCTGTGTACTTGACAGTTACTAGGAAAAGAGTTATGGAGCAGCACATTTACTAAACATTTAAACAATAAATAAAATAGGAAAGAAGACAGGAAATGAGAGAGTAAAAGGAAAGATAGAGAGAAAGAGAAGAAGATGAAGATCAGAGGGGAGGGTAAGAGACAATGCAGGAGACTGGAAGGAGAGAGCAAGAGGTAGAAGAGTGAAAGAGGGAGGGGAGAGAGAGAGAGAGAAAGAGAGAGAGGTGAGACAACAGAAGAGAGAATCTCAGGGAATTACAATATTGATGGCCAAAAACACTGTAAAGATTAACCAGGCCAAAAATAGAACTGGGAAACCCAGCTGACGTCACTTTGCTTAGCCCCACCATCTCCCAATGAAATCCTTTCTAGAAACCATGGCCATAAAGCTATTTATACTAATAATACTGCTGGACTCCCTAGAAACAAAGGCACACGCAAACGCGAGACGCAGCTGCTCCTTCCCACCCCATGCCACGCCACTGCTGTCTGCATGTATTCATGGGCTGCAACACAGTCCGCCATTGCCTGGCCTTTAACAAGCCATTTCGGCTGAAAATAGCTGATAATCAACTGCTCATACCTGAAACAAACGTAAACGAAAGTAGCCAAAACTAGCCAAATGGGCAAAAAAAAAGCCTAACTGCCGAAAATCGCAGGACTTTCGACGATCTCATTGCGGCGGTCAAACTTTACTGCGGCGGTCAAAATTCACGGCTTTTCAAGGTCAGAATGTCTTTTAAAGGTGAAAATCACGGTTCAAGGTCGCAGAAAAAAAATCACGGTAAATCACGGTTTTCCTGGTCCACTACGAACCCTGTCTTCATGACAGTTAGATGCATTAGAAAACAAAAATCCTGGAGAACATGTTCAACCTAAAATGGGATGAATTCAAAAGGAGTAAGAAATAAAAGAGAAATGTGCAGGCAACCAATGGTTTCAACAATTATAAGAGAGACAGAAGATATTGGACACATTCTGAGAGGTGAGGAGCAGAGAATCAGTGAGGAAAAGAGAATCACTAAACAGGTACTGAAATAGGAAATAGAGGGATTGCAGAATAAAGGATGTCCAAGAGAAACCCTAAAGTGAATGTTAATGAGAAGCCAAAGGTGCTGGACTGGACTCCATCCATGACAGCTAGTGGCTGCCCAGTATAGAAGGGAATAGAAGAATAGTTTTGTGCGCATATCTTTTTACTTGCTAATTTGCGGGCAGTTATCTTGTCTCTAGCCGGTCGGGCAGATGCTTTCAAATAGTCGACTCAAACTACATGCATTTTTTAGTAAGCAGTGGGTCTATTCTTGTTTTCTCTAAAGTGGGGCCCTGGAACCCACTCTGGAAAAAACAGGGAAAAAAAACAGCTATCTCGATACGATATCATCCACTCACCCCATGCAAAATGTTGCTGATGCTTATTCCAACAAACGCTAGCCGCTCCTGTCTGGAAATAGAAGAAATGAGTTATCACATCATGACATCAGTCAGAAGCACTTGACTACCAAACTATATGATTCAATGTTGCCAAGATGGATTTATAAGAGACAATAATCATGATCAAGTGCCTTGCCAAGAGCAAAAGATATAATTCTTATTTTGGGTAATTTTTACTTGTTATTCTTTCCCAGAAAGGCCACAGAAGAGTTCTAACTTATAGAATACCCACAGAGTGCCATTCTTAAAAGGATATTACCTTACTCTCTGAATGCCTGTCAGAAGATACTTAAAATACGTAAATAAAGAATTTATGTTTTCCCCCTCCCCACTCCTCCCATTCTGTTTATTTTCTAATCTTTCTTATTTACAAACACACACACACACATGTGTGTATTTTATATATGTGTGTGTGCCTGTGTGTGGTCAAATATAGTCTATTCATATATGTGGCTGGCAGGCAGGCACGCATGCATAAACACACCCACACACACACAGAGAGAGAGAGAGAGAGAGAGGGGGGGGAGAGGGAGGGAGGGTGGGAGAGAGAGAGAGAGAGAGAGAGAGAGAGAGAGAGAGAGAGAGAGAGAGAGAGAGAGAGAGAGAGAGAGAGAGAGAGAGAGAGAGAGAGAGAGATTGTTAATGAATACCAGACCATTATGAAGTGTAGGTAACTGGTTTGAACTTCACAGTAACAAACTCAGCAAGATTTTTAAACATACATGATCATATGTGACACAAATACTCATAACATTATCATATATAATGATAGTTCAAGAGAAGACTGCAAGAATGATCTGTCAAAGTGATATTACAATATCTGATGTCAAATTATATTTTTTTTAATCTTCTATCTTTGAAAGAGAATGTTTTCTTCTAAGCTCTGGGGTAGTCCTGTTTCAGATCTTTACAGTGTGTGACAGGCTTGTGGTTTACAGCTAGTCTGCAATATCTGCACCTTTCATCCCAAAGCATCTAATTTCAGCAAACCCCTAATCAGGCACCCTTTACTACATTTGTTTTTTTAGGGGAGCGGAGGATATATTTTTCCCCTCGAAATGGGACCCCAGATCCCATTCAGCCATTGATAGATATTAAAATGGCTTCTCCGCCTGACTGCATTAATTCAACTGGTATATCTTCTTTTCTTTAGGCTTTGTATTGTCAAATGTACATCATTATAATTAGGATTCAGGTTTTTTTTTCCCTCTCTTTGCTTTCAGGTATAATACAATCTGGTTCTTTGTCTCATATTTCTCTGCAACGCTCTTTGTAACATCTTTTTACTTTCTGTTCAAGTACTATTGCTGCTGTTGAATATCAGATGTAATGATGATCTAAATTTGTTTGTTGATTTTCTGGATTTTTTAAAAATATGCATACATCTTCTCTTTACAACTTGAGGTGTTCTATTCTATTACAAGTTTTCATTACAAAACATTTCTTGTCTTCTTTGCTCAAATTTCTGATTTCTGGGTCATTTATTTTCATGTTCTTTTTAACAAGACTATTTATTTCTATTTTTATCTCAGTTTACTAACTTTAATAGAATGGGGAACAAAGATTAAACTGGAGAAAAGAATGAGGGAAGAAATGTACACATATGCCAACACATTTAAATATAAATATTATTATATTATATTATCATATAAATAAATACCTCTTATTAAGCCTGACTTTTTTCTTAATTGTCACGTCAAATGACTGCAGACATTCCAACAGTTTTTCTACAAGCTTTGCCTGAGGAAAAGAATGTTTTCCTAATTAACAATTGAATTATCTTGCAATTTCTAAAACGCTAGTCTTACTGTTTTGAAAATCTCAATAAAGCAAAAATGCTACAATGTCCAACTACAATTCCTAGCTTACCAAAAATTGTCATCATCCCCATAAACTAGTTACTTGATTTCACACATAAGTATCGTACAACGTGGTCAAAAGTAATTTATCAGACCAAAAATTCTGCACACAAAAAATGCACCTAAGGTTAAGGATAATGTATTATTTAGAAACAATAATGTTTTATTATTTATGAACAATACTGTTAATATCATTGGGGAAATGGCACCAATACTAAGAAGCACATATGTATCAGTGGGAACCAAGAGAGCACTCTATGACAAAATCTTCTTGCCAAACCTGTGCTATCATCAATGCTAGACCTGGACGATGACAGAAAAAGAGAAAAAAAAATACAATTGAAATTAAATCCCTACAAAAAGCTCCCAATATAATAAGAAGAGAGATGAGATTCCTACAGAGCTCCCAATATAAGAAGAAGAGAGATGAGATTCCTACAAAGAGCTCCCAATATAAGAAGAAGAGAGATGAGATTCCTACAAAGAGCTCCCAATATAATAAGAAGAGAGATGAGATTCCTACAAAGAGCTCCCAATATAATAAGAAGAGAGATGAGATTCCCACAAAGAGCTCCCAATATAATAAGAAGAGAGATGAGATTCCTACAAAAAGTTCCCAATATAATAAGAAGAGAGATGAGATTCCTGTGAAGAGCTCCCAAATAATAAGAATAGATAAGATCAGAAACGGTGAAATCAAAAGGAAATTGGGGGTAACAGCAGCTCTGGATTTCATTAGAAGACAATAGGTGAAATGGTTTGGCCATATAGTGTGGATGTCAGCAGACAGTATACTGCAACAAGCAATTATGTACAGACCAAGTGGGAAGCGAAGTAAAGTCCGATCATGCAAACGATGGACAGAGGGAATAAAGAGTCCCTGGGAAGCGAAGTAAAGTCTGATCATGCAAACGATGGACAGAGGAAATAACAGTGTCCCTGGGAAACGAAGTAAAGTCCGATCATGCAAACGATGGACAGAGGGAATAAAGAGTCCATGGGAAGCGAAGTAAAGTCTGATCATGCAAACGATGGACAGAGGGAATAAAGAGTCCCTGGGAAGCGAATTAAAGTCTGATCATGCAAGCGATGGACAGAGGGAATAAAGAGTCCCTAGGAAACGAAGTAAACTCCGATCATGCAAACAATGGACAGAGGGAATAAAGAGTCCCTGGGAAGCAAAGTAAAGTCTGATCATGCAAACGACGGATAGAGGAAATAACAGAGTCCCTGGGAAACGAAGTAAAGTCCGATCATGCAAACGATGGACAGAGGGAATAAAGAGTCCATGGGAAGCGAAGTAAAGTCTGATCATGAAAACGATGGACAGAGGGAATAACAGAGTCCCTGGGAATCCCTATTTACGAAGCACACAAATGGGCACTCCCGTAAATTAGACTTCATCTCCACACAGCAAGGTACAAAGAGGATCAAGATGAGATGAGATGATTTTAACATCACACATCCTAAACATCATCTTCTTCTGACTGTAGTCTTCTCTCATTACAGAAAAAAAAAAAATACAGCTAACTATCAATATCAGATACACTTTATCTCTTAGTGTTCAGTCTCTGATGATTACAGGTTTTACAAAAACATTACTGGCAAATAATACTGTTATTATTACAACTTCTAAGTATATCTTTCTGTGATTGATAACTGCATTGTTAGCTGAGCTCTCGGGATTCTGATTCCTCTTTTACATTTCAACTCCCAATGGAGCACAGGCAACCAACTTACAACAAGCCTTCTGTAAATTAATTCCTAACTAACTGAATTTTGCAACTTAAGTTTGCTATGGATAGTCAGTCCTACACTAACCTTCTTTAGTTACCTCTTGAGACAAGCATAGTAGGTTAATGATGTTACTACACCTTCTCATTGACTTATGACTTATGTCAACCATCCCCAATCAGGACCACAATTTGATAAGAAAAAAAAAAGGAAAAACAAAAAGAAAGATTACAGTGGTAGGAAATAAATAGCATAGAAGAGGGAAGATATGAGGGGAGATAAAAGTTAAAACACTGATCCCCGAACGTATTGTAAACATGAGCAAAAAAATAGAATGGGGAAATCATAAGTGACATCACTTTGCCATTCCCCACCGCCTCCTAATGTGAACCTACAAACCACTGCACGCAATATGACTGCTTCAACTCTGGGTGTGGGTTTCATCCTGTATCCACGTGCTACAATAGTTCCATATCTTATACATCTTACTTTTCATTTGCCTTCTAATGCACACCATAAAAAGCAGGCCCGGGATAATGAACAGTTGGACTTAACATCAACTCATATATAGTCGGTTTATATTTTTTTATTGAGTCAGAAGAATTCAACTTATCGGGACTTATAAAGAGATGAAGGATAATAGCCTGGACTGAGCTGGTCATGTCTACTTAAGAGAAATGTGTCTCTCTTAAGTGGACTCGACTTTATTATATATTTTTCATATTCAGTAAAATAATTATCAGCACATAGATTGCACTGCCGTGTTTTATAAAAAAAATGTATAACCGATTTGAATGAAAATAGGTTCTAAAAATATAAATTCAACTTACAACCTGTTTGACCTATGACTTGTTAGTGGAAATGAAGTTTAAGGTTTGAACAAGGCATCAACATCATGGCACATGGGTAGTAACCCATTACTGCTCCGTTCTTCTTTGAACTCAAGTCTGGGTCCGAAGAAGCTCAGCACAGTGCACAGGCTCTGTAGCACCGGCTAGGATCCTGAAATACTGTGGGTAGATTTTTAACTCCAAATTTTGCCCAGGCAGTGCTGTTAGGCTACTCTTTTCAATTTCCAACCGCCAAGGGATTTTTTATGTGCGCAACAATGCACACGGACGTCCGATCTCACTATCCAGAGACCAGGGTTAATTACTAGAAGTCCAAGTCCACATAAACAAATCCTAGCCCTTACCGGGGATTGAACCCGGAACCTCTTAGCACTCAAGGCGGACACCATGCCTAGAGACCACACAGCCCCCAGGTCGGAATGAAACTTTGCCTTAACATGGGTAAACCCTGTATTCTTTTCTTCCCTTATGTTGACACTTGGATACAGACCTGGGCTCATTTAACATGCAATAAAAAATGATCAGGATATTACTTACATGCTCACAGGGAGGACAAAACCAGTCTCCATCTGGGATGAGCATCAGTGGGGGCCTCAGGCAGGCCGTGTGGTAGCCAGCATCACATTTGTCACACAGTAAGATCTGAAATGGCCACAGATATTTTCAAAATCATGAGAAAAATAGAAGCATTAAGAGAGCTCAACAACACATTAACAGTTAAAACTGTTTAAATGTTCTGTACATTCAATCCTACTCCTACTATACTAGCACAGAAATATGGAGAACGAACAGACAACTCGAACACTGAACTGAGGCCCTAGAGATGCTGATAATCAAAAGAGCAGGCCATATTTCATATAAACATACTGTCAATCAGGAAAACAAATATGTTAGACAACAGCACTAGCCACGCACACCTAAAATCCTAAGGTTGCTGCTCACAATCCCAGCCCCTAAAACCCTCACAGACTAGCATTAAAAGTGGTAAGTACTAGCAGTAAAGCCAGCTTTTTTCCACAAGGAATATCAGAACTTATTTCATACACAGCAAACCGCAAGCTTCCGGAATACTGTGGTACCTTAGAGTTAGAATGCATCAAAATGCAAACTTGGAATCACAAAATTTTCATTTAAATTTTGACTCAGAGCGAATGCCATCTTTGAAACCGAGCGCATGGCACATGCCAGGCACACATTGTGCTTTAGCTTGTGCTTCCAGGTTGGCCAGCAGCAAAAACAAAAAACTGCAGAAAATATTTCTTCAGGTGAGGAAGACAAGGCAGTTGAAAGGCTTAGCACTGCTGAAATCCAAGATCTTTTGACCATGTGGTCAAAAACGCAAGAAGTTGTTGAGAGATGGCACCATCATACAGCCCTAGCTAACAGATGTGTAAACTTATTAAATGATAAGATAACTTATCAAAGATTTTAGAAAAATTAAAAATAGTTGCCAACAACAAAATCATTTAGAATACTGGCTTTCAAAACAAACTTGTGACCCTCAAACCATCAACAAGTGGTGAAAGACTATGATATGAAACACCAGAAAGGATTCCTGATGTTATCATGGAAGCTGACAGACTTTTCAAACAACTTATTATTTTCTCTACTCCTGGAATGCCTCGCAGCATCACGGCAGGAAGAGATTTCTGGAACAGGCCCTTCTGTATACTTGGTATAGTACTTTTCAGTGTCTCTGATATTTCTCCTGGAATGCCTCGCAGCATCACGGCAGGAAGAGATTTCTGGAACAGGCCCTTCTGTATACTTGGTATAGTACTTTTCAGTGTCTCTGATATTTCTGTGTGCGGTCCATATTCTGCATGGTTGATCTCTGTATAACATTGCTCTCTGTGGTGTCTTGTCTGATGCCAATATTGTTACATGGCCAAACCATTTGATTTGCTGCCTATCTATAAAGTTAATTATTGGTTCTGTGCTGACTCTCCTCCTGATATCACCGTTCCTAAGTCATCTTTCCTCATTACACCTAGCACAGCAGATACACATTTCATTTATTCTCTGAATTTTGAAGACAGTGTCCATGTCTGACATTGCTAGCATGGCATTGGTAAGAATACTGTATTAAACAGTGTTTTTTTAGTGTAGAACAGTCTGTGCATCCATTTTACGTTCACCTCTTCTGATGCTTTGAGTAGTTCAGTAGGTATATCGTTAGGGCCTGGTGCTTTCTTGGAAGGTGCCTCTTTTTCAGATTTTCTTATTTCTGCAAGTGTATGCTTCTTCTAAATTTTCATGTATGTAACTGTCGTTTTTGTGGGTTGTGGACTGTTCCTCTGACTGTAAGTTAAGTAGATAGGTGAAATATTGAGGCCATCTATATATTTATGGTGTTTTGTATTTAGGAACCCCCCCCCCCCCCCCCCCCCCCCCCCCCCCACCCCCCCAAAAGAAAATCTGAGTTCGTTGGACCTTGGAACAGATTAATTTAGTTCTATTGAAAAAATGGGGGAATGTTCTGTTATCACTTCAGATACTGCTCTTGTAAATTTATTACAGCCCTTTTTGAAACTTTTTTTACACACTGATATGACTAAGTTTTTAAGATGCAGCATTATAAAAGTGGAAAAAAGCGGATAATGTCACATAAGACAATGTGGAGCAGGGAAAGCAATATAGAGGGAAGTAAGCAATGTGTAACAAAGAAAGGATTTTATGATAGGAAAAGGAAACGTAAGAATGGGACACACAACAGGCACGCACAAAACAAAAGAGAATGCTGAAAAAACTCATCAATGATTGGTGCCTTACCATTTCTGGGTGGTCGTACTTGCCACACTTCACACAGGGAGTGTCATCATTCACAACTTCCTCTGCTTCTTCTTTACCTATAGAACATGTTAGAGCACAGATGTTACCAGTGTCAAATGTCCTTACCCACAGGGGACTGCAGGTTACACCTGCCTGGTGTACCAAATAATCATCCTCATGTAGAAGGCCCTTTGTAGCATGTTGCTCTCATCATAGTCTGCCTGAAAGAAAACTCAGTTTCTCACCAGCACTCCCGCCTTGTGTACTTTCATATTCAAATAGTCACCGATATCCTGTGCCTATCTTTGTGTTGGCGGCCCTTGTCCCTCCTTCCTGGTGTCAAGACTTCTGCTATTATTTTCCCCCCTAATCTGCTATGGAGCTTGATATGACCAATATATTTCGGTTTCCGAGACAAGATACTGTTTATCAGCCAATCTTCCTTGATGTTCAGATCTTTCAGAATGTCAGTATTTCTTCCATTATGAGTATCTTGGGGTAATAAAGTGGTACTGGTAGTTTCCCATACTCATTTTGGGTGCTCTAATTATAACCTCTTTAGAGGCTGAACAGGGGTATATGTGATCTACCCTGTTGGTCTGCCATGGAGACCTGAGATTTTTAAATCTTAGAATGGTATGATAAACCTTTAGGTAGCAGCCTACAGTGGACAAACAATCAAGTGTAAAACATTATTTAAAACATAGAATGAGTTGAGTCTCTTGTCATGGTTGTACACTCTCTCAGATTGCTGCCCGTCTATCTCTTGATGTTGTCCTCCCACTTGTATCGTTGCCTACTTCTAGCTCTCTGGCCTTCAACCTTACCCTCTCGTATGGTATTACCTTCCAGCTAGATTCTAGACGAGGCGTTGTGCCTTCCTGGTAATTTAGCAGACTTCTTTTTCTTCTTAGCATTGACCAGCTGTAAACTGTGGCAGAAAATTCTGGTTGTTTGTCCACTCCTGGTCTTTGATCTTGATCCAGAACTTGAGTTCAATGCACTCTGACGGAAACATTAGTTGCCTCCTACCACATGTTTGTTAGAGGGGCAGTGGGTCTATTCTTTGGCCTCCAAAATGGAGCCCTGGAACCCACACGGGGAATGCATCTGATGAGATAGTGACATTTTTCAGGCAATAAATTGTTCAATATATTTATTCCCCTCATTATGTAATAATGATGACAGAATGACAAGTTTACAGAATATATCATTTCAATCTGTTCAGTCCCAGTCCTGGAACATGTCATCCTATTGTTAACCTTGTATTGAGCCTGCTGATAATTATGTTCTACGTAAACCAATGTGGCTGTTTCTTTTGGACTTCCACATCCATTTAAGAGATTTTCCAGATATTTAATAAGATGCCACTGGGGAAAATAGATAGAATGAAGGTGAATGAAATCGGTTATCTCCAAAACTAAACCATGGTGATCTCAAAAGAGGAGAAGAAACATCAAATCATGATGGGACAATATGCACTGCAGCAGGTCAACCAGTTCAAAATACCTTGGAATTGTAACAGAGTGGAATAGAGGCATTAAGGCAGAGCTGGTTGCTCAACAAGCAACATCTGGGGAATTTTCAGGTTACAAATCAAAGGTTTCTTTAGCAAAAGAGAAACTAGCAAGAGGACGAAAACAGGTGTGTACCACTCTACATATGTGCTAGTCCTGACCTACAGGTGTGAGTCACAGGTAATGACAACAGCTCACAGAAGCCAGCTTCAGGCCTCAGAAATGAGGTATCTTAGAAAGGTGGTCCAAGTGACAAGAAGGGTCAAAGTTCACAACCAGACAGTTCGGTCCCAGGTACGATGGTCTGGACATACATGCATGCAGAATAAGACATATTCAGCCACCATGGCAGGCCAAGAACCAGACCTCCAGGTTCACTGTGAAGACAACATCCGAAAGTCCCTGACTGGCAGGAGCCTGGAATGGAACACAGCCACACACACAAAAAATGCTGAGAGAGAAGTCTGGCAAACCTCTACACCCCAGGGTAGAAAAAGATCAACTAAGTTAAGGATAAAGGTGAATGAAACATGAACTGCTTTAAAAAAAACCAATGACGACAAATGAAACACTAAATGCCTGGGGAAAAAAATGACAAAACTTACTAGTCCTAGCTGCCTGCCTCTGAAAATTCCTCCCTTTTGGCTTGAACTCCTCATCTCCAGAATCTTCCTCAGGGGTAAATGAGGAATCCAGGAAATCCTTATCAGGTTGATCTTCTTCCTCTTCTTCACTACTCAGTCCATCTTCAGAAGTTTCCTCACTTGCCTCACTTTCTGAGCTTGGGGTTGGTGGTCTTCTAGATCTTTGTTGTCTAACCCGTAAGCTCCTCCTGATTCCCGAAGGATCATCATCAGCCACTGCTGCTGGTGTGGTCTTGACAGCTGGCTTCTTCCCAACACTCCCCTTCTTCTTGGAGGAATTCTTTGAGCTGGCTGGAGCTGCAGACTGTGTCTGGTTTCTCCCCTTTTTAGCGGGTGTTGCATCTTCTTCTGACAACGCTTCTGTGCTAGAGTCCGGCTTCTTTTTCTACAAAATAATAAGCAAATAAATTAATTAAATCTTCAACGTTAATTTTTAAAAATACAGGTACTAAGAATATTTCTGAGAATGACAGGTGGAAAGGATGGGTGGGAGCTGTTCACCTCATAATCACAGTGATAAGTGATTATTATCACAGCACTCCAGACAGTTCAACGGGTGTTTTGATCCGCTATTACATAGCTCTATATGGGTGAAACAACTGATTATGCCTGTTCTGTGTTGATTAGCCATTCTTCTTCACACATACCGGCTGTAAATTCTGTTTGTTTGCCCACTTCTGGACTTTAGTACTGTTCCAGAAATTCAGCTCTGCATGCACACCTGTTTTACAGATCTGGCCTATTTGTATGCAGACTTGGTTCCTGGCCCTCAGGCAGGTGCATTGCGACTTCAAAAGAAACTCCTAATTAGTCAACATGGTTGCTAGGGGGTATTGCGGCCACTTTCCACCCGCCCTTTCCAGACCATGGAGCCCCAGAACCCAAACGATGAGATGACTAACCAACTGCCTTGTGCCCCTGGTGAAACATTTATTTCTTGCAGCTAAAGGGTGAACCAGTTTTGCCACTGCTTACTGAATGTAAAAACAGCTGTATGCCACGCATGTAAAAACAGCTGTAACCCACGCATGTAAAAACAGCTGTATCCAACATTTGTAAAAACAGCTGTAACCCACACGTGTAAAACAGTTGTATTCCAGGCACTTAAAAAACAGCTGTATCCCACGCATGTAAAAAACAGCTGCATCCCACACATGTAAAAAAAGCTGTATCCCACCCATGTAAGAACAACTGTATCCTACACATGTAAAAATGTCTGTATCTCACACATGTAAAAACAGCTGTATCCCACATATGTAAAAACAGCTATATCCCACATATGTAAAAACAGTTGTATCCCACACATGTAAAAACAGCTGTATCCCACATATGTAAAAACAGTTGTATCCCACACATGTAAAAACAGTTGTATCTCACACATGTAAAAACAGCTGTATCCCACATATGTAAAAACAGCTGTATCCCACATATGTAAAAACAGTTGTATCCCACACATGTAAAAACAGCTGCATCCCACATATGTAAAAACAGCTGTATCCCACGTACATAAAAACCAGCTGTATCCCACGCATGTAAGAACAGCTGTATCCTACACAGGTATAAACGTCTGTATCCCACACATGTAAAAACAGCTGTATCCCACATATGTAAAAACAGGGGCATCCCACACACACATAAAAACAGCGGCATCCCACATATGTAAAAAGAGCTGTATCCCACGCAGTGTCTATAAAAAAAAATGGGGTTCAGCACCATATATCCAATGAGCAGCAGTAGCACAGTGGCTAGGGGCGTCATTTCGATCTGATCAGTTTTTGATAAGCGATACAGGGCTCCCAGGGTCTCACTACTTGCAACAGGAAATATTCTATCAAGTAAAGATTGCCAGTGTGATGTTGATTCACATCACCCGCTGAATGCCAATAAGCTTATTTAAAAAATAAAAACATGGATCCGTAACCAGCTACGGTCCTGGAAAGTTCAGGTGGCCAGCATGATGTTAACCACGTTCCCCACCGAGTGCCACTTGGGCTATAGAATATAGGTCTAGTCTTATATGCCCAAAATGCCTAAAGACATGGAAAAAGGACTCTTTAAGGCCCAAGCAACGGTGTGAGCATTAACTGAGAAGTTCTATTTTGCCCAAACAACGCTGCCATCGTCGATCATGTGTCCCGTACATTTTGCTTCACACCCGGCTCCGTACTTGTTGCGAATGCTCGGAAGTACGACTGAACTTTTCGGGGAAAGTCACTCTGCCAAAATCCTTTCAGCTACTTTCCCTATTAGTAGCCACACGTGCATAATTTAATTGGATTTACAGCGAAATTTTTTTCAACAGTGCATTTTCTAGGTTCGTTTTTGAGTGCCATGTGTTTTTAATAATGATAATGAAAATTTTGATTTTTCGGAAAGTGATTCAGAGGGTGAATTTTTGTCATTCTGATGAGTTTATTACACAATGTGAATTGAATTGAACTTAGAAAACAAAAATTACAAAACTCCTCGACTCTTTCAGTCTGCTCCTGATTGAGCGGTGACTATATCGAGTCCTTGTTTATGTGCTGACTCTAGGTCGTTTTGTTTTTTGTAGGTATTTGGTTGTGCCTTGACTACCGATCTTGCTATTCGTCCTTTCCTTTTTGCCTGTGTGAGCTGTTGCGCACTCTGTCCGTGATTGTTCCTTGGCTGTTTTCCTTGTACACCATATCGAAATCGATAAGCTTGTCACTGAGTTCCCCAACACGGCTCCTTTTCAGGGCCCCACTTAAAATCTTTTTTGTGCTTTTTATTTTTTGCATCTTACATGTGTAAGTGCGTTAAGCGTTTTTTTTTTTTTTTTTTTTTTTTTTTTTTTGCCTTCGTTTTTTTTTTTTTTTTTGGTTTGGTTTTTATTTTTTTGGCCTTTTTTTTTTTTTTTTTTCAATTTTTTATCCAGTTTTATTCTGGCCACACATGGTATAGAAGTAGTGGGGAGGTAACACAGTTTATGCAAAAAAATTAAGAGAAAATTGAAAGCTTGAAAAGCTGAGTAGGACATAAAGCAAGGTCGAAGGAGGGAGAGAGATAGATAGCTTGCTAGGTGAGGGGAGATTGCTGTCGGGCTTGATGGCCGCGTCTGTTTGTCTGATCGCTGGTTGGTTGTTTCCTCCAGGTCGTGGCTATTCGGTCTAGGATGGGGTTGCGGATTGAGAAATTGCTATGCGGTTGTCGACTGTCGTGCGGTTCCCCCCTGTAGTTCTGCTAATGAACTGTTTGACGAGCGCTTCCAGGGCTTTGTCGCTCGTGGTGTGCAGCAATTCTGTGATCGATACTTTCTTTTTGTGTGTCGCACAGTAGTCGAGAATCGGTTTACGGGAGATATCATGTTTTTTGCAATCCAGCATGTAGTGGCCTATTGAGTTACGGCACCTGCAGGTAGGGCATGTTGGGTTTTTGTAAACATCGGCCCAGTGTCCCAGCCTCAGATTCCAGAGTTTGTTGACGGACGGGATTTTCGTTTGTTCTTTTATCTGAGGCTGGGGCCTTGGTTTCCTAAGAAGATTGTATGCATGTCTTCCCTGCTTGCAGTTATGCCACTGGACTTCCCAGGCTTTTAGCAAAAGTTGTTTAGTGGCTGCGCGGCCTTCGGATTTGCTTAGTCCTATGTTTAGTGCGTCGGCGCTGTTGATGCCTTGTTTGGCAGCTAGATCGGCCGCTTCGTTTCCAGCTATTCCTTTGTGGGCTGGAATCCAACATATTGTTAGTTCACATCCTTTGTTTCTTATCTCCGTTGCTGCCGCAAGTATCTCCTCTTTGACGTCTTGTCTAGAGCCTCTGCTGAGGTCTTTGAGAGCTAATACTGCGGCCAGTGAGTCTGTGAGGATGTGAACTCTGGCCGGGGGGTTGGCTAGGGCGAGGCCGATTGCTACTTTGATGCCGATAAGTTCGGCTGTGCAGATTGAGGTCCCGGCAGTGAGGTTGAAGCTTTGCGTCACACCGAGCTGTGGGGCGAAGATGCCTACCCCGACTTTCCCCTCCTCATTTTTAGAGCCGTCGGAGTAAATCTTAACGCTATCATTCGCGAGCTGTTCTAGATACTCTTCTGCTATTTTTTTGGCTTCTGCCCTGTCGGTCTGTTTGGTGATTAGTTTAGTTAGGGAGGTGTCGGTTGCCGGTGGGGACAGTTCCCATGGGGGGAAGGTTGCATTAATTTTGATGGTGTCCTTGAAGGCCCGGTCTACACCGCTTCCTTCCACCGTTCTCGCTAGGAGCCAGGCTACCGGTTCCTGGAACCGTGGAGTTTTGCCGCTCCCGTAGTGGTGCAGGTTGGGGAGGAAAGCGTCCCTGGCGGGGTGTTCCGGGTCGGCGTTGGCCTGCATCCAGTAGTTGATGGCCAGTTGTCTGCGCCTGAGGTTAAGGGGTGTCACGCCATTGCTACCGTATTTATGGTGTAAGAGAAGGAAAGTGCTCTAAACAAAGAGATTGTATGGCTAAGCTACATTGAAATCATCGCAGCTACAGTCTGTATATAACTGTACAAAGTAAATAGTGTATGTGTAATGGCTCATTTTTCTGCCATTTTTGTTCCTAAAATTTGCTCAGCACTCTGTAAGAACTAAGAGCCTCTGAATGCTAAACTAACCCAGAAACTTATCACTAAGAAATTTGTTAGGAAATTGAACAAACTTTGAAGTTTTGTTCTCAAATTTGGATATTCACTACTCTTGTGGCTGAAAAATCATGGTAAGTGAAGAATTTGTTTGTAAAATGTTGTTTGAAATTAACACCTGTTGAATTCTTCTTTCCTCATTCATTCATTCAGTAGCATGTCTCTCGCGGAACCTCGCTTCCATAACAACCCTCCGGAAAAAATTCCTATCATGAGCAAGATGTCCTGCGTCTGATACACCCATCTGGAGATCATCTGCCACATCCTGCACCCATCTTCTCCTTGGCCTTCCTCTTCCTCTCTTCCCAGGCATATACCCCTCCATTATTGTTCTCTCTAGACCTCCATGACGTTTCAAGTGACCAAAATATTTCAATTTTCTTTGTTTTATTGTCTTTACTAGCCAACCCTCTTCAATATTCAGCTCTTGAAGTATGGATGCATTTCTTCTTTCCTACTAACTATAAATAAACTGGGCATACTTATCATCAGATTCAAAATGTACATTCATTTCTCTTTAAAAAAATATATACTTTTATTGGGATTAGAAGTATCACATTTTCTATTGCCCACCCACCCCTCTGACATTTTTGTAAAGGGAAATTAATGTGGGCCAAGTCTGTCAAAATTCATGGGCCTGAAAGTGTTAAGACTCATGCAAGTTCATGAGCTAATGTGTGTGATCACTAATTATTCAGTTCAACTTGATTTTAAAAAGAGAAATTGGTTACCTTTCCAAGTTTGCTGGTATTTCCTTCCTCTGCTTCTTCATCCAGAGCAGATTCCTGGTTGGGTTGCGTCTGTCTCTGACAAGCTCGGCCCCTGGGTCTTCTTCCTCCAGCTCCTATGACCATACCTTGGCCTCTACCCCTGACCTGACTTAGCGGTATATCACTGTCATCACTTTCTGAATCTTTAGTAGCCATTCTGGCGGACCTGCCACGAGCTGCTGCATTTCGGCCAGCACGAGTTTTCTGGCTTCTCGTTGCCTGTTTGGCACGCTTCCCATTTGGTTCTGAGTCTACAGCTTCATCACTGGCAGGTTCAGGAACTGCACGCTTGAGTTTACTACGCCGGGACAGAGTATTGGCCGGAAGATCATCTGCTATGGAATTCTCAGAATTTATGAACGTTTCATTTGTCAATGCATTTTTGGATGTTGCATTTTCTGAGTTCAAAGAAGTATCGTTTACTACAGAATTGACACATTTTGTTGAGGTATCGTCTTTAACTGATGACTTCTTATTTTTCGGAGCCGATTTGCCAGTTTTACTGACTACGCTGCGTTTTGGTCGACTGGAAAGGCTGTCTTCAACATTACTGCCATCACATTTGACACAATCCTCATTCTCATTTGTTGCTGCATCCACTGATTTTTCAGATGCTTGGTTTAGGGTGGGGGCACTATCTACATGTCCATTCACCATCTTGAGGCTTTTCTTACTATTCTTACCTACTTTTCGTTTTCTGCGGGACGTTTTAATATCTTTAATAGTTTTATTTATTGGTTCTACACATCCATCTTCCTTGTTATTGTCAACATTTACTAAATTTTCACAAGATGTCTCAGTCAGCTCCTTTTCAACGGTGCCGTCAGGTTTATTCAAACCTGAGTTTTCTTGTTCATGTTCTTTCTGACACATTAATTCTTCACAATTGTCATGTTCTTTCTGACACATAAATTCTTCAGAATTGTCAGGTACTTTCTGGCTTTTTATTTCAGAATTGTCATGTTCTTTCTGGCTTTTTATTTCAGAATTGTCAGGTTCTTTCTGGCTTTTTATTTCAGAATTGTCAGGTTCTTTCTGGCTTTTTATTTCAGAATTGTCAGGTTCTTTCTGGCTTTTTATTTCAGAATTGTCAGGTTCTTTCTGGCTTTTTATTTCAGAATTGTCAGGTTCTTTCTGACACTTAATTTCTTCAGAATTCTCAGGTACTTTCTGACTCTTTAGGTCTGCTGAATTATCAGGTCCTTTGGGAAACTTTATTTCCTCAGAATTTTCAGATTTCTTCTGACTCTTTATTTCTACAGGAGTTTCAGGATCTTTTGGACTCTTTATTTCAGAACGTTCAGGTTTTTTCTGACCCTTCACTTCTACAGAATTGTCAGGCTGATCAGTTATAATTTCATCAGACTTATCAACATTTATATTCTGTTGTGCTTCTGAATCAGCATGAGCAGGTGGTGTACTGTGAATACTGTGGCTTTTTTCATGTTTATTGGATTTCATTTTCTTGTTATCTGCACTCACAGATAAACACTCTGGAGAACTGAGTGAGGCCCCACTACTGGGGCCCTCTGAGGCAATTTCAATCATGGATTTCTCATTAACGCTGCTGCTGCTGTCTCGGCAACTCTTCAGATCCGCCTGATCTAGAGGACATGCTAGATGAGGAAGGTGCTCCAGAGATGACTTGTTTTGTTCAGCAATTTCTGATTCTTTGTGCTTGTGTAAAAGATCACTTGAACAACTCAAATCCTTGCTGCTGACTGAGTTGTCACGGCTATCTGGGTGCACAGTATCAGTGTCCACCTCAACTGTAAATGTAGCAGGTCGGGTGTTGTCCAAAACTTCCTTGGCAGTTGTACACAAGTCAACAGCACCATCATTCAACTCACCTTTAGTTGCAACTTCAAGAGTTTCACAATCCAACTGCTGGCCTTTTGGTTCACTGACCGATTTCCCCCCTGTATCCTGAATGCTATCTGTTGCGATTTCAGGTTCAACAGAAGAAGACAGGATACAGCCGGTGCTGCTATCTGTCACATTATTACCTTCTGTACTGGAGCCACCAGAACTAGTCAATTTTTCAGCAGTCTGAACATTTAACTGATCTGATAAAACTGGAGTTGTCTTTTCTGTAGAAATATTGTCTTCAGTAAAACAGGGTGACTCTTTAGGAGCTTCATCTGAGGAACCTTCCACATTTTTTGATGCTCCTTGTGAGCTTTCCTTGTCCATATTACTCTGTGACTTCATCTTTGCTTGTTCCAAATCAACAGCAGATGTTGGGATTTCTTCTGTCAGGTTGGCTGAAATATCAGAGGTCACATCTGCTTTTTCAAGAGGATCCTGCTCAGTAACATGTGGATTCCTCTCTTGGATTTCTATACTCTTTTCCTCAGGGCAAGTCTCGCTCAATACAGGTGTTTTTGGTTTTTCGCAGGAACTGGTTTTTTCTGACAATGCTGAATCTTCTAAATCTGGTGATTTAGTGGCCTGCAATGAATGGTCCATTTCAATCTTATCTATACTTTCTTCTGACACATGTGTTTTATGAACACCTCCAGCATCATCTTCAGGTTCTTCATCATCATGCCCAGAGGCAGGACATTCCAGCTCTGCTGATTTCTCTCCACTGGACAAAACACTGTTGTTAAACTCGACATGTCCACTATGCTCAGGCTTCTCTTTAGAATCTTGGCACTCGTCCGTTGCTGCACTGTTAGCGTACTTACTTATTTTCTCTGTTTCATTGTTAGTGTCATTACTTATTTTCTCCGTTGCACTATTAGTGTCATTACTTATTTGCTGTGTTGCACTGTTATTATCATTACTACTTGGCTCTGCTGCACTGCCAGTGTTATTACATATCTGCTCAACTGCATCGTCAGTGTCATTACTTATTTGCTCAGCTGCATTATTAGTATCCTTGCTTATTTCCTTATCTGCAATGTTAGTGTCCTCGCTTATTTTCTTTGCTGTATCATTACTTTTTTTCTCTGTTGCACTGTTAGCATCATTACTTATTTCCTCTGCTGCACTTTTAGCATCATTACTTATTTCCTCTGCTGCACTTTTAGCATCATTACTTATTTCCTCGGCTGCACTATTAGTATCATTACTTATTTCCTCTGCTGCACTGTTTTTGTCCTTATCTATTTTCTCTGCTGTACTGTTAGTATCATTACTTGTTTGCTCTTTTGCACTGTTAGTATCATTACTTGATTGCTCTTTTTCACTGTTAGTATCATTACTTGTTTGCTCTTTTGCGCTGTTAGTATCATTACTTGTTTGCTCTTTTGCACTATTAATGTCATTACTTGTTTGCTCTTTTGCACTGTTAGTGTCATTACTTATTTCCTCTGCTGCACTGCCAGTGTCATTACTTATTTCCTCTGCTGCACTGTTAGTGCCTTTCCTTATTTTCACTGTTGCATCATTATTATCAGTAATGTTTTGTTCTGTTCCACTGTTAGTGTCATTACTTTTTTGCTCTGTTGCGCTGTTAATGTCGTTACTTTTTTGCTCTGTTGCACTATTGGTGTCATTATTTATCTGCTGTGCTGCACTGTTAGTGTCTTTACTTATCTGCTGTAAAGTCTCCACCTCTGGTTCAAACCTCTCCTGACCAGAATCTAGGAGAGGTATAGAACCTTCTGGTTCTGCTTCAACACCAACAGCAAGCATATCAGAATTTTCATTTCTGATATCTTCATTAGCAGTTTCATCCACATTGAGTGTGTTTTCTGTTTTTACAACAGGCACTGCTGGTTCTTTGAGTCCTCTCTCACCTTCTGCATCCATCTCTTCATGAGATGACTTGTGGTCTTTCATAATATCAATAAGTTGTATTTCAACTGTTTTCCCTTTCAGTGCAACTGACTCCCTTCCAGTTTTCTCCTTCTTCATAGCCTCTGATGGTTTTTTATTTGTTCTCTTGACTCTAATGATATCCACTACCTGTTCCTGAGATCGTTTCTCAGCACCAACTTCTTCATGGACTCCATACTCTTTTTTCACAATCTCAAACTGCTCTATAGATATTTCCTTTTTCTTTTCACCAATTATTGTTTCTCCATCTCCTTTGACTGTCTGCTTTCCCTTCATATCATTCTCTATCTTCTGGTTCTCTGTTTTTTCATCTTTTACTTCTACAGCCAAGTCTTGGGCCACTTTTTTTTCAGCACCAACATCTTTCTCTGGACTTCCTTCTTTGCTGCTCTTTGAACCACCTGAAATTGAATTTAACAAAACAAACTTAACAGATAACTTGTGGCTGTCTGAGCAAAGGATTTTTGTAATGCAAAAAAAGACTTGCAAATTTAAATAATAGTTAAGAGCACTAACAAATTATAGCCTGACATATTTCCCTGTAAACTGACAGGTGCAAACTCTAAAAGTTGCATCAACTTTTGAATGGACTTCAAATGAAAAGCTCACAAGTGTGACAGAAATTATAATAACCATGCCATTGTCATGCGACCTAATAATATTTTTGTTAAGGATGTCAAGAGTGTTAGGCAACTGACATCACTGTGCAGACAAACAGGGTTTTGTCATACTTACAGTTTAAATCTTCTCCTTCCTCGTATTCACTGAAAACACTGGCAGAAAATTCTGGTTGTTCATCCACCTCTAGACTTGTTCCAGAACCTGAGAGTTGCTTGCACATCCATTTTACAGATCTGACTTATTTGTATGCAGACTGTTTGTTCCTTGCCTCTCAGACAAATGTACTCCAATTTCAAAGGAAACCCCCAGACAGTCAACTCTTATGACATGCTTGTTGGGGAGGCAGTGGGTTTACTTGTTTCCCCCCACAAACATTGGTCCGCCATGATGAAAAAAAAATGTAACAAAGTATAGGTAAACACACATGCTAAAGGACAAACTAAAGAATGGTTTTGTTTTTAAAAAAAACAACATAAAAAATACAAACTCCACAGCCCCGATGAAAATCTTGAGAAAAGGAAAACTCCTGGTTGACAACTTGGCAAAGATAATTACACATAAGAGATGAAAACTAGTTAGTCAGTCGACAGGTTATCCTCACTGCCCATCGAACAATTCAGTCCATAAGTGCTCGGATCCCCTCCTTAGTATATCCCGCAACATGTAGCTCATGACACTAGTTCTGTGTGGCTTCTTTTTCTTTTTTGACTTCCTGCAATATTGCTATTGTCTGGTCACTCCCCTTTTAACATGTTCTCGCAGTTTTGTCATTGTCAGAGATTCACATCCATCAGTCAGTTCTCACAAAACATCTTACTTACCTAAATTTTATTTAAAAATGAAGTGGCTATGAAAAACCAGTTCTTCTTTATGGAGCAGAATGCTGGAGAATGACCAAAAAGGATGCACACAAGCTGTTCACCTTCCACCACACATGTCTACGTAGAATTATCAAAATTTTCTGGCCAGATACAATCTCAAACACTAAACTACTTCAAGCCACAAACCAAGAAACTTTAGACAGTATGATTACCAAGAGAAGATGGAAATGGCTTGGCCACGTTATGAGAATGACTTCTGATATACCTGCCAAAACAGCTCTCACATGGACACCAGAGGGAAAGAGAAAACAGGGGCCTCCAAAAACAACATGGAGATGAACGATGGAAAGTGACCAGAGTGCGGCATCTTTGACATGGAAAACTGCACTGAAGATTGCACAGGACAGGAAAGCATGGAAAGTCCTCTCTGAAGCCTCATGTGCCACTAGGCATAACAAGAACTGATGATGATGAAAAACCACAACTGTCCGCCGCCACTGTTGACCCACACTCACAACAACAGAAGTCTTCACCGGTATACCATACAGAAAAAATGAACAGCAGAAAGAAGTAACTCTATCTACTTACATGTACTGGTTTTATCCTCCTCCTCCTCCTTGCATGATCCCTTCTGCAAATTACTGACAAGATCAGCCAGCTCCTTTCTATTGCTGTGGAAGACAACAAGTATAAGTTCACTTTCAGTTCCACACAACTGTTATTTTAATTTTAGCTCACATTGGCTGAACAGGTTATCACTTAAAAATAATCAGTGCTGTATCCAAAGCAAACAGACTGGGAACCCTCAAGATCATACAAACAATATATATATAATAAACAAACAGACAATGTATTGCTCAGCACTCATAGAATAAAGTAGAAAGATGACGCCTAAATACATAAATCAACAGCTAAAATTATCATATCAAGAATCAAACCTGTCTTTTCTAAATGATAACATCACCTCACCGAGACACTGGCTAGGGTTCATTACCCAGCAGTCACAGGTTTTTCTTTAACCATTAAGGTTTATTCAACTCTGACAATAGACACAAGGTAACTCAGACCTGCGAACAATCAGACGATTCCTGGTACCATCGGAATTGGAACTTTTCGCTTGCTGCTGGGGACTGAACACTTATGGGAGTCCTTAATTCAACAGCATTCAACCTGCGATATCCCTCTTATGTTTTTTTTAAAAACAAAACTCTGCTACTGACTCCTCCTATTTTAAGTCATATTTTTTAAAATCCTTATGACAATGATTCCCAAACTGTGCGCCGAGGCGCCCCGGGGAGCTGCGACCTCTTCACAGAATTGAAGAAAGGGGCGGTAACTAAGAAAAGTTTAGAAAACACTGTCTTATGTGGTTCTGTGGGCCCCATTTAGGGTGTTCGGTGTTCTGGATATTTTCCAATTCTCCTTTTCACATCACATAACCAAAGAACTTTGTCTCTATCTCACGGTTGTAAATATTGCACTATTTTCATTAGCCATTTTAAGGCAATCTGGCAGTCCAAGGTATTCTCAACATTCTTCTCAAGAACCACTCTCGGACATCTTGTGCTAAAAGCCAGCCTAGCTGTAAACCACAACAGTATGTGCTAACAGCTCTTTTAAGGGTGAACGCAGAATATTCAAAAAAATAAAGAGTAAATATGTATTGGAACCGCAAACAGGAAAGCATTCTAAACTCAGGGGTTGTTGTGTTTGTAAAGGATACCAATGATCCCAGAAATTTGTTCCGCAGAGCATCAGAAAAGACTGATATCCACCCAGTGCATGTATGTCCTAACAAAATGTTCAGTGACAGCAATAAGACAAACTACCTGCAGACTAGCTTCCACGTGTCAGCCACCTCATCATCCTGCTCCTCCTTATACACCAGCAGATTCATGTCATGGTCCTGCCACAGGAAGAAACAAACAAGCCTGGTGTGATCAATCATGTCAATATCTACATATGGCTTCACAGAAAAATGCTGACTACTTCTCAGCATTCACCAGCTGTGAACTTGGGTGGACAGTTCTGGTTGTTCATCCATTTCTGGACATTGGTTTTGTTCCAGAACTTGAATTTTGAATGCCCATTTTTTTTTTATCTGGCTCATTTGTATGCAGAATGTTGGTTACTCACCTCTCAGGCAGATGCGCTCTAACCTCGAAGGAAACACCCATAATTAGTTGAGTCTTATCATATGCTTGTGAGGGGAGCAGTGGATCTAACCCCTTCCCTTTTACACACACACACACAATGGGGCCCCAAAATTCATTTGTTAAGAATGTTTACAATTCCCTTGACAGCCAAACTGCTTGACCAAAATGTTCAGAAAGTGGCTAATACATGACAAATAAACATCACAAACATCAGAAAAAAAGTAGCCATTTCTGGTTACATAATGATATTTGGGTAGTGGTGGGGGCGCTAGTGACAACAGAAAAGATTGATAGAAAGAAAGATGGTGGAAGACAATGAAAAATTCCTGACATCCTTTTATCAAGGCGTGCAGAGGTATTAGCAAATGAACTGTTACATGCTGTAGATAACAAGATGTGGAGAAGTGTGACCATCCACAGCATCTGACAAGATACTTGTTGATGATCTGCAAGTCTATTTCTCTGTAAAAAACATATACCAGTCTAAATGCTAGTTTCTTAACCATTTGGTCTTCATGTTGTGAAAACAAAATGTTATACCTGGTTATAATCATCATATGCCACGATGAAAATAATCTGTGGTGGCGATTTGCCATGTGATATAATCAAGTGCCCCAGATCACGTTTGTGTTCTTGTTCTCTTTAGGTCATGAGGTCAGGCCATCTCTTTGCTCATTTTCTATAAAGTTCTCCAGTTTTCCCTAATTTCCAAGCTTTTTTTCTTGATGACATCTGATCATGCCTGTCTTAAACTCAGAAACTTGTCTTTTTGTCTGTCTTCAGGCCACGTATGTCAGGTTCACTTCCTCTGGATAGATTCAATCTAAGGAACTGAGCTCTCCATGGGTAGATCACAGTAACCAACAAATTAAAGCATTATGTGATCAAATGTCAGTTATGCAACTAAGAAATTAATTCAGTCTGTGATCAACAAAGTCAGTTATGTGACCAATAAATTAAGCCACTATGTGGACCATCAATGTCAGTTTTGTCACCAACAAATTAGATCTTTATGTGATCAATAAATACAGTTATGTGATCATCAAATTAAGCCACTGTGTTACAGCAAAGTCAGTTATGTGGCCAACAAATTAAAGCATTATGTGATCAAAAGTCAGTTATGTGATCAATAAATAAGGCCATTATGTAATCAATAAAATCAGTTATGTGGCCAACAAATTAAATCCCTATCACAAAAACATACTGACCAGAAAGTACCAATAAGCTTGGCCCTCCTTGTCTCTGCCAATTGGGAGAAGGCGCATTTCTTCAGCACTTTCCCCATTAACCTTCTCCTTGAACTTGAGATTGTAGTCAAACTGGCATTCCAGTAGGTTCTGTTGGACAGACAAACCATCAAATTAAACTGTGTATATATATCAGGATTCATAGCCAAATTTACGAGTTTATAGTAAGGGTTTAAAAGCTTGTTTTTCCCAATGCATTCTTAGTTTGTTTCAAGGCTGTGCTAGGGTTATTAAACATATCATTAGTGCTTTCCATATATCTATGATAATACGATAACCATAACCGGGTAATGCCCAATAAGCATGAAGACATGGAAAAGAGTACTTTATTTGTACCCATTTTAGGCTGGGTTGACCTGGGAGCCAAAGTCATTTTTGAAGAGAAGAAAAAACCTGCAGATTTGGCCCCAAGACCTTGGGGCTGGCAGGCGAGGGTCAAGCAGTCAACTACAGTGGTCACCCTAAACTTAGTGACAAAAGCTAAACCTAACATAATAAGAGCAAGGCAAAGCCTAACAATTACCATTTAAAACACCCCCCCCCCCCCACCCAAAAAAAGAGACAATTTTCTAACAATGAAGGTTTGGTGCAGTTGATATGTGCACCCGCTACTGTCTTTGGAATAATGGAACAAGAATACAGACTAAATAATGATCACATACACTTGGCAGCTGCCTTGCTGTAGCAGCTAGACTACTAAGGTTGTGGGTTCAGGTCCTGATGGAGATGGAATTTGTTTTTGTTTTAAATAACACTGGTATCCAGGGTCAACCCAGCTTTGGTCAAGTCCTAGGAAGTAAAGGCGGGTGGCGTGTTTCTGACTATACCCTCCCCCCTTCCCCCCGCCAATTGCCAGGTGGTCTATAAAATATAGGTCTAGCCCTATATGCCAGAAGGCGTTCTTTTTTTACACTAGCAGCACAAAGGTGTATGATTCCAGACTCCTATTTTTATACATCAATCCGTACTTGGTGGGTTATGTGGCCAACATCAGCCGTCTTTACTTCCCAGGACTGGTCCTCCATTTAGGATGGGCTAGCCTGGGAGTTCGGGTCTTTTTTTTTTTCTTTTCAAATCCAATTCAATGTGGACATATAATCCAAACAGCAAAAAAAAAAAGTAATTTAAATGTTTTGCTTCAGACCATGGCAAAAAGACAGCTTATCACAAGCATCAGAAAGAAACAGCCAAAATGTCAGCCCATTCAAGAAGAAAAAAATCTCAATATATTACAATTACAAGTAGGAAGATTCAAAGCGAGACAGAAAAAGACAGTGAGAGAATATTCTTGACAACCTTTCATCAGGTCACGAAACAGTGTGGACATGAATTAATATTTTCAAGATTAAGAAAGAGACATGGAGAGGCATCATACAGGAGTAATGACACGCATAAAGATGAACAAGGGAAGGAGATGGATGGGAGAAAAAAACACAGGAAGAAGAAGAGTAGAAGATTAATGATAATATTTATAAACATTTAAAGTAATGACAATAAATTACCTTAAGAATTCTAAGCTTAGTTGCCAGTTGGGCATGTTTGTAGCCATAACTTTCCACTTCCCATGCATCAAATTCAGAAAAATTATGACAGAACTGAAAACACAAAATCACAATGTAAGAAGTTTGAAAATGTTATGTCTCAAAAACAAACAAGCAAATCAAGCCAGGACGCTTTTCATGCTGCCACTGTATTCCACTGTAGACCAATATTTGTACAGACCAACTGGCGCTCAAAAAGCAAAGTGGGCAACATCATGCCAGCCATTTTTACTTACCATGACATTTCCTGGAATCCATTTTAGGCTGGTTGACCTGGGCGCTGATATTAATTGTAAAAATCAGCCTCCATGAGGATTCAATAACATTCAAGCCCTCTGGTACCATCCGAATTGGAACTCTTGATGCTGAAGATTGGGATGGAACGCTTATGGCAATGTCAAATGTGCTATTATGTAGATTCTTAATTAAACATTACCCTTCAAGCCAAAAAGAGAAATGTCTCACCACTGCACTACAGTGACTCTCTCAAAAGCAAACATTTTTCACAAAACTGAAATATCCAGAAAGAAAGACGCTGCTAAGAACTGATTACTGATTTAGGAATCCACATCACAGCACACAGGGCATACCCATAGATGCATTGTCTCCCGCATGTGTATATGCTAACTGTTCTTGTAGCACACTGGCTACTCACACATCGCTCTCTTCCTCTCATACCTGACTCCTTATTGGACCCACACCTAATTCAATGTTCACATATTTGTACACATGTTATTTCATCTAACCTTGTGTCTTCTATGAGTATTTTCTCAAAAATGGTCTTTATAAATTCTCCTTCGTCCAGTACAAGTGATCCCAGAACTATCTATTTTGTAGCCAGAAAATCCAGTCTTTCATTCCCTCATACCCCAGCATTTCCTGGACGGTATATCCACGTGACTCCTTGTACGGTTGAGGTGCTGATGCCTCGTATCCACTCATGCCCTATTTGTCAATTTTCAACGTTCTGTAGTACCAACTGAGAATCAGACACTATTATTCCTCTGGTAACTTTATTTTCTGCTATCCATGTTGAGAATTGACATCACAGCACTCGGAACATTTCCATAAGCCCTCCAACCCTATCTTCAGCAGCTAGTGCACAGTTTTAACTCCAATGGTACCAGTAGCAGACTGACTGTGTGTCCACCTTGTCTTTCCTCTGAGTGTTGAGAGTCAGCCAAATGCCCTGGTCACTCCCCGCTGCACCATTCTCTTCAGACCATGATGATCTATCTATTTGTGCTTTTGCACTATTCCAAGTTGTTCCCAAAGGGCTTTGACCACACCTAGCTTATCATGCATCAATTAACTACCAAGTGATGCAGAACCAGTCAACCTGTCTGCCTGCAATATTTTCACCCCTAGGTATGAAAATATTCTACAACGAGACCCCAATCTCTTTCACGGTGCGACTCTTACACCATTATCTGAAAGCTACGAGAATGGTCTCTTTCTAAACTGACCACCTCAGGAAGTGAACCTTAGATTTGATTATCCTGTCAGCTCTAGAAGATGTGAGGAACGGTCAGTTTTTCCACTTTTTTGCGAATATAAAATCCAGAGATATAACTGAAACAACTAAACCTCATTAAAAAAAGCAACAGTCTGTGTTTTCAGAGTTCATATTTTGAGGATGATGCAAAAAGCCACAGTATTCAAATAACTTTAGTGTGCACAAGAGATCAGTGAAATATACCAGGCAATGAGCCAGTGACAATGCATTTCAATTCTCATGAATCACCAAGGTGTCCTCGACAAGGAGGTTACAGCCATCAAGTCGTCATTCCAAAGACAGCATCTGTAAGTCTCTTTATTTAGTATTTTAGGTTTATGGCCCAGCCTGTTCACAGCCTTTTCTGGCTGGCTAGCCTTTATTTTTGGTGGTCACACATATCAGATATTCAACTAGCCCGACAGATATGCGATTCTTCTTGGAGATACTTCAGTTAAGTGATTCTGTGTAGCCTTGTTCGTGTTTGTGGGATTGTACCTCGTGTAATGAGCTGATAAAGGCTCTCTAGCCACAACATTCACTGCGGGCTGTGATAGTGTGAAGCAGTCTGGTTTTATTTTGTCTGGTTTGATGTATTCTCATGATGCACTATATTGTTTGTCATCATTATTTAAAATCACAATAGGAAAACAATATTTTGAATATGAATTAAGCTTAAAAACAACTTACTTTGATAATACACTTTTCAAATCGATCTGAATTTACCATGGACTTGCCAATACGTTTCAACAGGCGAACATGGATATCAATCAGTACTCTTGATACTGCAAGTAAATGAAAGAAGACTCAGCATTTTTAATAAGCTTAAACTAAAGAAAAGTTTTCAAATTGGACATATGGTTCATAGACCAAATGGCACTAGGTCAAACTGGACATATGGTCATAGACCAAATGGTGTTAGGTTAAACTACAGATGGTTATAGACCAAAAGTCGCTGGTCAAACTGGACAAATGGTCATAGACCAAATGGTGCTAGGTGATGTGGTCACCATTGTGACAACTGCCTGTACTTCCCAGAACATTTCCTGGTACCCATTTTAATTTAGGTTGAGCTATGATGTATATAAGATGCAATACTCTCTTAAGACTGCTGTTTATCTATCCCATGATGTTATCCTCCCACTGTTACCGCTGTCTTCAACTTTTCCCTACAGTCTGATTTTTTTAAAGTCAAAGTGTTTTCTTAATGAGCGTCTGTGGCTTAGGCGCTGCGAACGTGCTTCGTAATGCCAGGGTACAGGATTTGAGCCCAGCTGCAGACTAGCTGATTTACACTGGTTTCGACAGTAGTACCTACAGCTGACCGTTCAGGAAAAAGTGGCAAACTACTGAACATTGGGGTTGGTTCTGCAACACCCAAAAGCATTCCTGGATTGATATAATGAGACTCAGTGAGGTCACATGTGAAACAGAAAATAAAAATTATGGAATGTTAAATCAGTCAGTCATTCAGTTTTGTTTGTATTTTTATTAAATACAATATAATAATAGTATTATTGGCTCTACTCCGAACTTCTACCCCTGCATTATGGCGGCCTGAAATATCCGTTGGGAGCTCAGTCCAATGAAAAATTTAGGCTTTCTCCCAAGGAACAAATTGCGGCAAAACTAGGATTACTTGACAATTTCAAGAGACGCAACATTGCAGACGATAGCAGCAGACGATAAAAGCGACCGGTGACAATGTCGAGCGTTTATGCAGATGATACTAGCAGACGATAAAAGAGACCGTTGACAATTTTCTAGACATTACAGACGGTGAAAGCGATATGGCAGGTAGACCACGCGCTCCCACGCAGATTAGCAATACTGTTCTTCCGATTGAGGATTTAGCAAATGTCAGATTTGTCGGCATGCGCAAAACGCGATTAAACTCACCGCCCAGTGTATCCCCGCCCCGCTACGCGCGCTGCGGATGGGGGGCTAAACTAGGTGCCTGGGACTCACGAGCAAAGTAATTGGAGGAAGTTGCAGGAGATGCGGTAGCTGCTGCTCGTGAGTCCCAGCCATCTTGTTTAGCCCATATCCGGGCCGCGCGTAGCGGCGCGGGGGATACGGTGGGCGGTGAGGCATAGTCACAGAAACAGGTCCGCAAATAACATATCGCTGAGACCCTGTTAGAGCATTTGTTTCGTTTTTCCGAGCCGATCCTAGATTTGCTGCGATTTGTTCGTCGGCATAAAAGTCCGACAAGTCCCCATTTTACATATTTGTTCCTTGGCAGAAAGTGCGACAATGGAAAGTGTCAACGGTAGCTATTATTTTCTGCTACTATCGTCTGCAGTGTTGCGTCTCTTGGAATTGTCAGGTAACAATAAGAAACAGGTCCGCAAGTAACATATCGCTGAGACTCTGTTAAAGCATTTGTTTCGTTATACAGAGCCGGCATATTTTTAATAGAACTGAGCCCCGAAAGGATATTTAAGGCCGCCATAATGCGGGGGTAGAAGTTCGGAGGAGAGCCGTATTATTGATTCTAATAATACTATATATATATATATATATATATATATATATATATATATATATATGAGCTTAGAAGATGACTAAGACTATAAGTATTTCATTCCCCAAAGTTTGTATTTTTAACATTAAAAGCTCAGCAGACTAAGTTCTTTAATATTCTGAACATATCTAAGCTAATATCTTTAACAAAATGACGATCGATTGGATCTGACCGAACAATAAACACCGACTACTACTAGACTGTCACACACTACTACAGGCGACCAGGTCTATTTTAAAAAATAAAATTCGATTAAGCAACATGTTATTTATTATTAAGTAAATTAAATGCAATATTTCCATTTAAAATGGCTTCTTTTCGAACAAAATAAATTAATAAATACTCAAAATACTATTAAATATGCATAAATGTAAGGTAATGGTGTGATATCCTTTTAAACTATTTTCTAAATTTTTGTTCTTTGATCATCAAGTAAGTCTCCTGCACATAGCAGCAATAGAACTACAGTGAGTACACGACAAACTTGGCGGACGGCTAACAAATTCTAGAACGTTTATTTTACCATCGCCTGTTGTGTCCTCCAAATATGTCTGCAGATCAGAATAGCTTATGGGCTCCAATCCCAAAGAAGCACCATATTTATCCAAAAACGAGCAAACAACGGCAAAGTTGGGATCTTTGTGGCAGTCACCCTCTCCAACCGACGCCATGTTTATTAGGGCTTTCTATTATGCTAATAATAGAAGCACAAACGGCCAGGTTTTTTCAAGGTATGCCATTTTTAAAGTAATGGCGATATTAAGGGGGGGGGGGGTTGGGGGAAAGGGTTGGTTGTTGTAAATGGTCGTGGTGGTGATGGTGGAAGTGGTGGTAGTAGTAATAATAGTAGAAGTAGCAGTAGTAGTAGTAGTAGTAGTAGTAGTAGAAGTAGTAGTAGTAGTAGAGCAGTAGTAGTAGTAGAATATTAGTGAAGTAGTATAGTAGGAGTCGTAATAGTAATTGTAGTAGTAGTAGAAGTAGTAGTAGCAGCAGCAACATCAATAATAGTAATAGTAGTCATTGAGTACTAGTAGTAATCAAGTAATAGTAGTAGTAGCAGCAGCAGCAGTAGTGGTTATAGTATTAGTAATCGAGTGGTAGTAGAAGTAGCAGCAGCAGCATCAGTAGTAGTAATAGTAATAGTGGCAGTAGTAGTAGTAGTAGAAGTAGTAGTAGTAGTAGTAGTAGTAGTAGTAGTAGTAGTAGTAGTAGTAGTAGTAGTAGTAGTAGTAGTAGTAGTAGTTATGGTGGTGGTTAGGGCTCTTATTCTGGCGGTACACAACGGTACTCAGTAAAGGCACCTTTTATTGTGTATACTTTTTTCAGCTCTTCTGCAACAGGCACTTTAAAGCAGTGGTTTCCAAACTGTGTGGCGGTGGTTGTCTGGGTATGTGATAAAGACGAAAGCAGCCCAAATTTTAATCGCACAGGCTGTTGATCCATCTGTGTAAGCATATATCCACAACTGTTCGGGATAGTTTGCCCGAACTAAGAGCAGTTGTTAGTTGCTGAAGGTTATTAGACCGATCTCCAGCTGTGAGTCCATTAACTGAATTCATCTGTACTGTGTCGCTGACTTGCTCCCCAAGTAGATGGTATAGGGTAGATTTCAGTGGTGTTGTTCTCATGAAAAGATCTGCTTCATACAGTCTTTTAAGTCTTGTTCTCATATGGACAAAGCTGCTACTTTCGAGATTCCCCCCCCCCCCCCCCCCCCCCCCCCCCCCCCCCCCCATGCCAGATCATCTTATCTTGCATTCAATGGGTGTGACTACAACACGGTACCCATTTTAGGCTAGATCGACTTGGAAACGCGCTCACACACACACATAATTCGACTCTATGTGGATTCGAGATCACAACCTTCACATTAAGTCAGCGAGACTTCCCCTACTCTATTTACAAAAGAATAGCATCTCTCATGGTTCCTCGTACAATTCTTGCTTTCATAGTATTGCAGGGTACGCCAAGGAAATGCCACGCAGGAGCCCGAATAACTTCTTTGGAGCCTGAGCGAGGTATCCGTATATTGCTCTGTTGGTTTGCCATCTGGGATGCTATTCTTGATATCACGGGAGTGGTCGAATTTGCAGGTAACAGACCTGAAAGGGAAAGGAGGTAGGGGTTGTGGGTAGACAGTGTTTTCTGTGTTGAGCAAACCAAGGAACCTGGATAAGTTACGCTCACACCTCTAGAAGATACAAAATGCAGTGGCGATGGCGTCAGAATAAATAAACTAAAAGTGCCAAAGAAAAGGGTTGGTAAATATATTTGATATAATAATATAATACCACAAATGATAGAGTATGCAGGGCCACATTTAGGATGAATAGTAGGTCCAGTTGAAACTCCAAGGAGAAGCGAGCACAACAAACGCCTCCCATCATTAGGTTTCTCTTTAACGCCCTCGTTTTCTTAACCCGTTATTTATCCCATTTTAGTGAATGTGGCGATCCTCTGTTAGTCTCTTCTCGGAGTTTTCTGTAGCAACTAGAAGTTTTTCTCCGTCTGGTCTGCGCTACCTCCAATTTAACGCCCTTTAGAGTTTTGGGGCAGTTGAGGAGTGGTAGCTCCAACCGTCTCCATAAAAGCTGAAAGAGGTCGTACGCCGGCTATGGAAAGAACTGGTCTAGGAAACCCTTAACACTCAATACCGGGTCGTTGTTAGTCTGGTGTGTGCAGTTATGGGACGGTGTAGAAAAGAGACAGTCCATTGTTTGTATGTACATGACAGATAGGTGACGGATCATGACGGTCCATATGTGTATGCTTGACTGGCTTGAGCGCTTAGCTTGCGTGTCCACGGGTCCTGAGTGGACAGGCTGTGCTGTAACAAAGGCCACGGAGAAAACTGGAAAATGAAGACGTGCGTGGTAATTTGTAAAGCTATCACGGCCTGCGTTTCGGGTAAGGGAACCCACATCTCCTGACGTCAATTGTTTCATGTTAGTCCGTGCTTCACATTAAAGATTGTTGTGTGTGCTCTGTGAGTGTTCGGTTTAGTGTGTATGTGTGTGTGTGTGTCTTGTGTGTGTGGATAGATTGTCTGTCACGGGCCCATACAACGAGCCACGTACCATCAGAGGCCTGTGTGTCATGACTCGGGATTACAATTCGGATTGTTGGTAGTTCACCTAAATCTGACCTATAAAGCAACCATCCGTCTGGGATTGTAGCACCCACAGAAGGAAACACCGGACTAACTAATCCTCTAACTCGGTCTCTACTTAAAAGTAAAAAAGACATTTTCCCACGCCTTCAAGAGTATTAGGCATATAGAGCTACACATATACTTTTTAGATCAAATGGCACCTGGTGCGTGATTTGGTTAGCACCATACCAACTATCTTTGCTTCCCATGACTTTACCTCCTACCCCTCTAACGGTGTTTCAACTTTGGGAGTCAGTGTAACTGAAAAAAAAGTCCATCTCGTTCGGTTTTGAAGCTACGACTGTTTTCATTTTAGTCTTTAATCAATTGTAGTTACCTTGTTACTACTTAAGACAATATATATATATATATATATATATATATATATATATATATATATATAATATATATATAAAAACACACAAACATTGATATATATATATATATATATATATATATATATATATATATATATATATATATATATATATATATATATATATCAATGTTTGTGTGTTTGTTTGCCCCCTATAGACTCGGAAACTACTAAACCGATTTAGCTGAAATTTTCAGGATATGTTTGTTTTGATACCGGATTTTGAACCATCGTGGTTTGAAATTCAACCTGTCACTGTTAGAGATAGGTGACCACAATTTATGCCATAATATTCGTAACTAACATTTATAACTTTAGTGATTTCTAATTATAGCCACGTTAGTAATTGCGCATGCGCCGTGCAGCCAACACCTCCTCTAATACATAGAGTAGGTCGTGGTACAGCAAACAAGACTATATCTATATCTGTGCAGGCAGTAAATGCCACAATAACTATATTAGACACGATTTCTATTTTCTTTTTTTTTTTTCAAACATCCTTCGATGAGTTGAAAAGTAGCCGATATATTGGTAGGGAAAAAGAGGGGGGGGGGGGGGGAGCATCAGGGACTATCTCGACGTCTGCGCAGACATTGTGATTGACTGCGACATTAACCGTGTTAGACACGTGCGATTTCTTTTTTTGTGCCGTTTCATTAATATATTTGGAATATCTGTCTATGAGAAAACAATTGCCTGCTGTTTTGAGTTGTTTTATAATCGGGATACTGCAGACACTTAAAATAGTTAAGTTCTCTTTTCGATGACCCAAATAAGTGACTGCTTGGTCGAATGGTTAGAACATTGGGTTCCTGTGCGGGAGACCAGGGTTCGAATCCGCAGTTGTTAACTTTTCTTTTTCCCCCGGACTAAAATAATATCCTCATCTGCTCTGTCGTGGTGATAGCACTAGCCATGTTGCCTTAATACTTTCAAAAAAAAAAAAAAAAAAAAAAGGCAAGTAAATGGGTAAACCATTTGATAATTAAATTTGACCATTTCGCATACTTATGATTGCATTTTTAAACTTTCCGATTGCATGGTTACGCTGAAATTTCATAGATTTCCATTTTGTTTTGTTTTTTTCATTTAGATTTAGTTATTTCATCTGCGTTGGAATTTTAAGCTGTGCTATTTACCATGGCGTTCATTTCGTAATTATGGTTTTTTTTTTTTTTTTCTGTGTTCATTTGCTTTTCAGTTGTTTTTTTTTTTTCCCTCCCAAATGAGGGAAAGAGTTGTCGGTGAATTTAGGGGGTGGGGGGGGGGACAAACTATTAACTGAGAGAGCTTTAAGTCACAGTAACTTCTTTACCCACTTAAAGTAGCAGCAGCAGTAATAGTTGTGGTTGGGCTGTTACACCATAGTGCTCTCATGTGAAGACCGCCGGTAAGGTTATGGCGTTCTTCTGTCGGCAAGTGAAATTATACATCCTAACCTGGCCAGTCTGTGGCGACAGCACTAGCCATGCGGAACCAAATCTTCTGGCTCACGACTCTCTGTCTACTCCGATAGTAACACAGATAGCAGTGACATTATTTTAGCTACTGTGGTGGTGGTCGTGGCAGTAGTTGTACTGGTACTTGAAGGATGATGTGGTAAATATTACACTAGCCCCATTCACTACCTATTACAATTCCTGCTCCCCATTTTAGTCCAGATGGACAGGGATGTCAATGTCAGTTACAGCAACAAAAAAAATATCGTCAGGTAGTGATTTTCAAATCCTTCGAAGAGGGAGAGAGCAGTAGTCGGTGGAAGAGGGGAGGGGAGGGGGTAATGACTTAAATTTAATTGAACTTAAAGACCTTTGCACGTGATTTTCAAGTTCTCATTACATAATATGTTTATATTTTACTAACGCTACCTCCGCTATTCTATTTTTTTACGACTTACTTTGTTATTCACAAGTACAGTTGTAGCTTTACTTCCGTCCCCTATAAAAATACAAACAGCTTTAGCATGTGATAACCAAATAACCATTTTTGTTACTGTGCTAATAACACCATTTAAACGACCACTAATATAAAGACACAATTATAAGGTGCGTGTTCTAAAGTTGGAAAACCAGACTATCTCTATATCTGTGCAGAGAATGATTGCGACATTAACTATATTAGACACGTGCGATTTCCATTGTCTT